CAACAGCTCTCTATAGTTTTCTGTCTTGTCTGGAGCTTAGGTCACTAACTACGGTTCTCTAGAGTTCTATGACCTACATCGTGAGCGTTGGCGAAATATTTGAACGCAATGATGTATTTTTATTTTATACTTTGATGGCCGCTTCACTGAATATAAGATAACGAGCCCGACCCGCGGCGTATCATACGCCGCTATTTAGTTGTTTTATTTTCTTCTTTTCAGGAATTCATAATTTGTGAATTCGACAGTACCAATGCTGCCACTGAAAATATTTGCTTTAAAACACCAACCCCCCTCCTTTCCCCAACCCCTACCCTACACCCCCCCCCCCCCGTGAAAGCAGCCTCCTCTTAGTTACCTCCTGTAAGTTTAAAATCGTTTCAAACTAAATTATCTGCCCCTAATAGCCGTCAACAAACCCGGCTCTACGATTTGTAAACATTTAGAGTGAACCACAGCTCACCAGATCATGTGGGGGTGGGGTGGGGGTGGTAGTGATAGTGATAGAGAGGAAGAGAGGGGACTGCAAAGGCGCGCTTGCAGCTTGTTTTCTAACGGCTCCCAGAAGAGAATTATATATATAGATATAGATGATGAATTTACTATGTATGAGTTTGGAGTTGGGGCTAGAGGTACATTCTTTCTTTAAGATTTAGTCTAATGTTGAATTAGGTATGTAGCTTTCAGCCATATCATCAGAGTTTCTTCGAAATGGAATTTATATAGAAAACATATACTTTTACCAGTGTCCGCCCCCCCCCCCCCCCCCTCGAAATATCAAGAGCACTCCGGAGAAAAAAAGTCTAGAAGAAACACTGCATATCAGAAATAGCTTTTTTAAGAAACTCAAATTTTCCCAAGTGGTGGGGAGGCTGAGTGGGGCGGGGGACGGTGTGTAAACATATAACTGCGCTGGTGAATTTGGGTGAACAGAGTTCAGGTCGGGATAAAAGATGTGTATCTGTATAGGCCCATTTGTGTTATACTTTGTGTAGGCCCAGTAAAAATCATTTACCCCAAGTTCAGTCACATGACCTAGCAGGAAGAAAAAAGTCCCGTCTCCCATCTCGGGGCTAGAAAAAGGGTTTTTCCTAAGTTGGGGGGGCGATTATCTCTTAAAAACAAAGTTCCTGTAGCATACTGTTGAACTGACTGGGAGTATGGCTGATAAAAGAAAGTAATTAGTTAAAAGTTTTTGCATCTCGTCCCGTACAGAGGCGTAGCGAGGGGGGGCGGAGGGGGACATATGTCCCCGGGCGCCGACCTTAGGGAGGGGGCGCCAAATTGAAAGTTTGAGGGGGGGTGCAAATGAAAAGTTCGAGGGGGGGGGTGCAAATCGAAAATTTGCTCCCGAGGGGGGCGCCAAATTGAAAGTATGTCCCCGGACGCCGGGAAGGGTCGCTACGCCTCTGCGTCCGTATCGTAGTTAAATGACGCCACAAAACACTCCGGGGGGGGGGGGGGGGGGTCGGACTTGTGACTTGTGTGACAATAGAGGGGGGTTGTGAGCATGATGTCGCACTTTCATTTACTCTTAATCTTTATTTTTTATTTGTGTTGATAATTTAAAAAAAAAAACAGTAACCTCACATGGCGGGAGAGTGGGTGCGGTCAGCATCGTATGACCCCGTTAAAAAGATTTCACCAAATCGAAACATTTTCTGTCAAAACAATGTTTTTATTTGGTAAATTAAAAAATAATAGTGGGAAGGGGGTGACGCCAAACCAAAAATGCACTATTATTGGAGGGGGAGGGGTGGGGTGTCAGTGGTTAAAAAAAACTGGTCAGTGTAATCTTGACAATAAAAATTTTGTAGAAAGAAAATTTGTTTACCGCCCCACCCCCCCCGAAAATTTCAAGTGCCCCCCCCCCCCCCCCGGAGAAAAAAGTCTGGAAGAAACACTGGCCTCAAATAATGACAAATATCATTTATTTTTATTTGTAAATCTACAAAAAACGAACATAGAACTTTGGAAGATTCTAGTTACGAATAGTCAGATTTCTATGTATAGATCTAGAACTCGATATAGTTTACTAGTTTACTAGAACTAGATCTAGAGATCTAGATTCTAGATCTATATTATTCTATTTGTTGGTAATTTCGATCTAGATCTAGTTACGTAACTAACTAGTTACGTAAGTACGTAACTAACTAGTTACGTAAGTTAAGTATCACGTCTAACGCCTTCACTGCCAGCAGGGGTCGATTTAAAATTTTGTCTTTCTTCTAATTTTTACACATTCTAAAGCCGAATTTCTAAAATATTATTCCGAATACCACATGATATAGGCCTAAAGTTATTATTATACCGTAAAATACAAGGGTAGATTCAGTGAACTACCACGACCTTGAGTTTTTCAGATGTTTATATTTAGCTTTTTATAATAACAGTGCATCCCGTGACTAGCAAGGGTCACGTGAACGAAAGTTTCTGGTAAACACAAAGCTACTTCTACAAAAGCTCGAACGTCTGCGCTCAGTTGCCAAGCACGTACTGAAAGACAGAAGTCAACTACCCAAATTTCATCGGTAAGTTTTCATTTCATTATCACTGAGTTTTAAAGAATTATCTTCAATTAGGTTAAACTAATATCTAGATCTAACACTTTGGATAAACTCTTGCGATATGAGTTGACAATGACATTTTCATTCAATTCATTGACATGAGTCATCAGTTTTTCAAAAACTTTTCTGATCTAAATTCTAAGTCCACTCTCGAGATTGATTTTTAGTTAATTCCTTAGTAATTGTTTTTATTTTAGTTAGATTTAGATTTGTGTGAATATGTCGTTTCAAAGAAGCTATTGCATTTATAATTTTATAGACTGGCACTAGGCCTAACAACAAGTAACAGTTACTAGATCTAGTCTAGATCTAGATCTAGAATCTAGACTAGATCTACTAGATCTAGATCTAACAACTTATTACTGAACTTAAGTTCGGGCATAACACCTTAAGGGTACCTTCTTCTTTAATTAATTAAATAAGTGATAGGTCTACTCCTGTCTAGACTACTGGTAGTGTTGAGTTTGAGTGTAATATTGATAAATATTTTGGTGTGGTGCTAAATGAATCTATATTCTAGAACTAGAATCTAGACTAATAGGCCTACTATCTAGACTCTAAAATATAAATAAATAAGAATCTAGATTCGAGTTGACTAGTAGAGTAAACTTATAGTGGAACCAATAGTATTTATAGAAACTACATTTAACAAGGCCCAATCTTAGTCCATCGAAACTTTATTCCCATTCATATTTGATATTATTGTAGGCCACTTGTTCTTATCTACTAATACTAGTACTAGATCTATTAGTAAAGATCGCTTTCATTCATCCTTTCAATATTCATACTCATAGAAGCACTAAAGAAAAAAACCTGCAATAATATAGCCTTAAAAGGCATTCAAAGAAATTAAATTGCATCAAATATTTTACTATAGGCCTATAGACTAAACTTTTGTCATACTAATGTCCGATGTCACAATGTAATCTTCTTAAAAATTGTTAGGTTATTTAACAAAATACTATTAACTTGCAAATCAACACTAACCCTATCCCCATGTATTACCATAGCCCAACATAATTTTCTGACCATAACATTATCAAGCTTTGCACCACAATACACAATTTACAAATTCTAGATTTCAATGATTTGAGTGTCTATTTACAGTAAACTACATATAGCCTTTAAGTTTAGAGCTGTTAGTTGTGGCTATTTTTAGCAGACCAATCATTTTAAAATTTATGGTCCTGTGCACGCGTGCATATTGGTCATCTTGCGTATGGCATTCATCTTTTCATTCTAGAAGTAACTCTCCATTGGTAGAAGTAGAAGTGGTTACGCATCAGGCATCATGTTTTCATGGCGTTTTATTCCTTTTGACTAAAGTTTTTTTTTTCTTTTTCTTGGTATAGACTAATTTAGGGTTAAGGATTTGGTTAGGTCTAATGCAGCTACATAACAGTACATTGCATATATAGAATTACAAAATCACAGTAAAAAATGCTATGCTGATTGGTAGTACTAGTAGCATAGATCCATCGTCTATCATCAATAACCATGACCTCGGTCTTCATCGTGAAGGCAAGAACAGACCTAAAAATAACGATACTTAGGCCTGCCGGGTATATTACTAAACAAATGTTTAAAGGGGCTATTCATGGCAGACTGTGAATAGCTGCAGCCAATTATTTGCAGATAGGTTTTACAGTGATATTCAGATCAAAATTATATATTAACCATTATTACTTCATAGTGCTGCCAATAAGTTGCATGTGTAAAGATCAAATCTTTAACAGGAAATCTTCACAATTACATTTTAAATCAACTTCGTATTAGTAAACATATGTACACTGAACATAAGTAGGCCTATGTTTATTTTACAGATCAAAATGCAAGTCACAGCTGTTATAGTCACTCTGTGCTCAGTTGTAGCACTTGGTTATGCCTGCTGCACACCTGACCAATGGGAGGGAGCTGAAGCTTCAATTGGAGGATGGGCCACTAAAAAACGCCATGGCCTTCTGAAGGTAATTATCATCAACCGATTAAATATCTAAACAGTTACCTGAATGTCATGCATAAGCAAATTTTCTCTTATCTATTCAAATTCAAACATCTTGTCAGTCATGTCACAACATCCAAAGTAGCTTTTGAATGTTTTGACTTAAGCTACCTTTTTTTTTTAGATAAGTGTTAAAGTTGTTTATTTTTTCAAATTTGTTTTTAAAAATAAGACTTAGGTGATAGTTATAAGATAGTGACTATCCTGCAAAATAAAATATTAATTTAGGCCACGTTTTGCTTATCAGATAGTTGTTTAAATGCCTTTACCGTATGCAAAATGTTTAATCTTATGAAAATGTAGGCCTACATCCAGAGTTGGTTATCCACTGACATTTTCTGACCTAATTTTTCTTCCTGCTTCTAGGAATACATCAAAGTGTCCTATGACGCTACCAACAATCGCACTGCTGCCTTCCTTGACTACGTTAACGGGGATTTCTCCAACAAGTATCAGATCGTCACCAGATACGATGAAGGGGTATGTGTATCTTATTGACATTATTTTTATACCATAAATCCTTTTTTAGTTAACTCTGATTTTATGTTAATCAATGTTCATGTTGTAGGTTGGCAAATTGTACGTCGTTGACCTGAAGAAAGACAAATGCTGGACTAAAGAACTCACCCGTCCATTCCGTAAAGCTTGCATTCCTGGTAAGATAATTTCTGACACATAGTTGGAATAGTGTTTGCTTTAATGATTTGAGCCTTCATTTTAAAGGTTACGCTAACAAGGTACATTTTTTAGCTTATTTATAATTTAAATAACTTGTTTTATCAAATTCTGTTTTCAGATTCTGCCAAATCAATGGGTGAATATTATCTTGGTCTTGAGGGTGGATTCAAAGTGTCAGGTTTCGAGGTGAAGGGAAAATCTTTTCAAGTGTTTGTCTCCGTGCAGCTCCTGGACAACAATCAGTGTGTGCCTGTGGGAGAAACTGTTACCGGAAGTCTCCGCAAAGGTAAATTGGTTTTCCATTCGGATATGCTAGCTTTTATAAACTTACAGCTATTGGGCGCTTTAAAACTTGTACTGTTTACTAAAAGTAGCTGTAAATTTTAATTTTAAATTCTGGATACTTTTTTAAATGTTTGTTGCATTTATTGGTGTACTGGGTTGTTTTTCAAAGCTTGTGCATTTCTACTTGTACATATTCAGTGTAGTTAATTTAATTAAACTTCAGTTTAATTTGTTTTGGGATTAAGTCTTGTACTTGGAAATATTTAGCTTGAAAATTATGTGGTATTTGGTCAAGCTGATTACTCGAGAAATGTGAATGCACTGTAGAACCTGTAAATTGAGCTTTGCCAAGTTTTTTTTAGATTGTCTTGTGTAATTACTTACATTTAAAAAAAAATTATTTGTGGGTTAAGGTCTTTGTATACATTCTTGTCTGATTATTTTATGAAATTTTTATACATAATTGCACTTGGAAGCATTCTTTCACAAATCTATTGTATAAATGAACTATTTCCCAAAAGCAGACTCAGCATGCCTTAACTTTTTAAATACAAGTTTAAAATGAAAAACATTGTCAACTTGTCCTGTGAAATGTTCTGAGTAGTATAACTACTTTTAAAATGTTAGTGTTTAAGAAAAGAGTACATGTTTAGTTATATCCTTGCATCTTTAAGTTGAAGCCCTACAAAAACACACGGCAAACATTATTGGTTAGCTTTTACAATATTAACATGCTCATTCTTTAAGCCATACAGCTTACATATATCTGAGCATTGAATTAACTTTTACAAAAATTTAACCATTTTTATTCTTCCCTAGCTGACTTTGTACAAAATGTTGGCTTCATCAATGTCACCCCTGGCATCAAGAATGAGACTGTCTTTGATATCCCCAAAGCCTGTGAAAAGGTAAGATTTATTCGACATTGGCCACAATATTTATTAAGGTTTTATATTAAAAATGATTTTATTCAACGCATTAACCACAATATTGTTTTAGGTTTTATATTTAAAATGGTTTTAACCCATTAGCCACAATTTATTTTGACGTTTCATTTTTTTTTTCTATTCTCCTAGATGGAAGATTTCTCTTTAGCTGAAGAGTTGTCCCGTGAACACTACATCATGGCTGTCTAAAAGACTGTTTCTTTAATAAGTTTTTGGTGTTTGTTTTTTTTTTTGGTTTTTTTTTTTTTTTTTTTTTTTTTGTTCAAGTACATCTTAAGTGTACATTTCCACAATTTTAAAGCATAATTTTGTTGGTCTTTTGCCAAGTTTGTAGTAAGTTGTTTACTATTGTGAGATAAAAAAATTTTATTTTCTCAACTAACTATTCCATTGTGTGATTAACCACCGAACAAAATAATTTAAATAGAATTTTTTTTTTAATCTGCATTTTTGAGTTGCCGAATCAGTGTGCCTTTTAATGTACATCGATGATTGGATAAAGTATAGATCTCAATGTAGCTGAAATGTGTTGGATAGTAATTAAAATTTGTCGCATGTATCGAGATTGCAGAAAGAAAACAGAATCTCAAAGTTTTTTCATAAGTAGGGATCTCTGTATTTGTTTCAAGCAGGTGTAAATATACTGTTTGACTTTTTTGTATGAAAAATAAAAGTATCTCCTGATACACTAAACAGATTGTCTGTGTTTTTTGTCAGACCACCTTGTTTTTGTTGTAACCATCTTCTGTGTACTAAGGCAAGTTGTTCTTGTTGGCGCATTATCCCCAATCTGGTTTAAAGACTGTTTCTTTTCTGGACGGTCAAGGGACTGTCCGAGGCATTGGTCTGGTTGATTAACCTTAGTGCTGAAGTCAGTTTTCTGGAAGGGGAAAAATAATGTAATGTGTGAATCAAGAAGCTGAACACTTGGTTTAAACATTGGGTCTTCAAACTATCTGAAGGAATATCATTTATTAAACAACCTGAAGGTGGGAAAGAGAACTTTCTCTCCCCCCCCCCCCCCCCATCAACTTTTACAACTGGCTTATCAAGTTGCTTCTGACTTCTAGTAAGTTCTGACTAGTGAAGATGTACAAAAATGGCATTTTTACGTTCTCAAATGTTATGGAACTTGCATACACGTTTGTAAAATAAGCAGCCCAGCCTATTCCCCCCCCCCCCCCCACCCACACATTCACAAGACAAACCTGCCGTTGACGTTCAGTTTAGCAATGCAGGACTGTTTATAGTGGCCAAAAATAGCTGCTATAGTCCTTTGCAAGTGCAGTAAAAAATATCTGAGCACCCCTGTAAATAATTATTTAGGAATCACTTCGAGCGGCAGTGCTCCCCCCCCCCCCCCCCCCCCCGCCCCTTGAAGATTTCAGGTGCCCCCTTCGGAAAATGTATTTGGGTCCTAATGGACTGAGTTAGATGTGTACATTTATTACAACTTCCCGAGAAAAACGTGTTGGTGACATTGCGCACCTTGAAATCAAAGCACTCAATTGAACCAGTGCAACCATGGAAATTACGGTGCGTTCTTTTTCGACTAGTGTGTAAAAGCAAGTTGCTGGCTTTATTAACATCGTTAGCCAAGAAATAAAACCTTGTCAACCAAATTACTATTTCAACCAAAAAGTTGCCGCAGGATGGACAAATGGATCGGTCGTGTTGCAATGGTCACTGGTGCGTCACGTGGCATTGGTGCATCGATCACTAAATTGCTTGTGGAACTGGGGATGATCGTGATCGGTGTAGCCAGGGACATTTCGGATCTAGAGGTGACATTTTTAGTTCTTTAAACATTTGTTTAGTAATATAGATCTACCCGGCAGGCCTAGCTATCGTTATTTTTAGATCTGTTCTTGCCTTCACGATGAAGACCGAGGTCATGGTTATTGATGATAGACGATGGATCTATGATCATCTATGCAACTAGTACTACTGGTTAAACGAATTACTTCACTTATATAAAATGTAATAAATAGACCAGCGTGGTCCGTTGCAGGGCGCACGACTGCTAACCTGAAAGGCTCGAGTTCGGATCTTGCACTCGAGAAAGTTGAATCCACCCAGCTCTGATGGGTTGTCTACCTGACTCATATTAGGGAAAGTAGAGGCGGCTGGGCAAAGTAGCCTGCTGACCACACTATAAGTATATTCAGAGTTTCTTTCAGTCATCTCTTCTGGGGTCACTACCCTACTCCGAACGAAATAGAATTCATTTAGAGATAATATACTTTTACAAGTATCCCTCCCCCACCCCCGGAGAAAAAAGTCTAAACGAAACACTGAGTAGGCCTATATTCCGAGGTAATTGATAGAGAACTCATTGGCACAGACTCGAAAAGATTTGGAATATAAATAACGGAAGTTACGATAAAGATCGGTTGTCAGAATCGTTTAAGCTAGTGCTATATTAGCTAGCTGCCTATTCACTAAATCATGAAATGGCGCTAGTTGGTTTAAAACTGTTGGCTTTATATCTGCATGCCTAAATAGGCACAATTCAGTCATATTCATAGAAGATGTGAAAAGTAAAGTTCCCTTTCAAACCTGACGGTCTATGGGGCAAGTGAAGTAGAGTTCATTTGTTTCTGTGACCTCAAGATATGAAGGGATAGTGTGGTCAGCACTATGCCCTCATAGAAGATGAAACACGAGTAAATTATAAGAAGTAAAATATTACTTTTCGTGCCACGGTGGGCAAGAAATATCTTATAAAATGGCTCTTCATTCACAAAATATTGTGTATTCACTGATGGGGGGGGGGGGGGGGGGGGGGTGTCCATGCGTACGTCGTCCAACTTAAGGGTGAAGTACCAACATTTTAAAACAAACATAATACTCCTATCCAGCACGTTAAAGTGAAATTAAGACGACATTGCTCGAGTTAAATAAAGGCACCTCTAGATTCTACTTTTGATATTTAGGCCTAATAATAAACATCGAAAATACTAAAGACGTATATCAGTTATTACGTACACAATACATGTATTTGAAATAGTAAATTTGGGGGGGGGGGGGGGGGATTTCGTCGAAAGTGGACGCTTGTGGACGGGGGAGGGGGATCTAAAATCCGAAATTTTTGAGGACGTCATAAACTATTTTTATAGGACTTAGCTATAAATTCACATCGCAAATATATAATTTTCATTTTTTTTTTAAAGTTCAAATTAAACCAGCTAAACAATCCTATAGATAGTTTCAATCAAAGAGGGTTTTTCTCTTAGGGTAATGTTATTAAAATCAGGCTTATGCCCCGTTGGGTAATAGTTTGTAAAAAAGGGTAGTTTGTGTTTAGAACGCTGTGTCACCTGCTGCGTAGACCGGAAACCGAGCAGATTACACGTGCATTGTCCTCCACAGGTGACGTCAGTCGAGTACAAGGCCAACGGGCTGACTGGCAACTTAGTCCCTATGAAATGTGACATCAGCCAGCCGGAGAAAATCAACGCCCTGCTCAATCAAATCCGGGCTGACCCCGACTTGGAAGGGGTGGATGTGCTCATCAACAACGCCGCCATTGCATACGCCGAGCCCCTGCTCAATGGGAACCCTGACGCCTGGGGCACGATGATAAGAGTTACGTCCCTGTTTCTGGTGGTGGTTAGGGGCGACCAGTAAATGACGCCGCGCGAATAAGGGGGATTCTCTTTGTATGAAATATTTTTTAAAAATATAATTTAAATAGAAAATATATACTTTAACCAGGGTCCGCCCTGGAAATTTAAGTGCGCGCCCTCTGCCCCCCCCCCCCTCTGAAAGTTTCAAGTGTCCCCTCCAATGGATAAAAGAAGAAAAATGTCTGAAACTCTGGGAGATGACGGGGGGGGGGTCGGCTAATGAAAATGCTACGGGGTGCTGAGAATATAAAATGTGATGTATTGAAATCCTGTAAAAAGTGATATTTTCGTTATGTTTCGTGGAGAAACGAGGGGAGCCTCGTGCTTGTTGTGGCAGAGGGGGAGGGGGGGGGCAACCATTTTAAACTACGTGACGTCATTTATGGTCGACCTTATACAGCATTACATTTCATTGATTTTTTTTTTCTTTATGCTTCAGTGTCGCTTCCTTTTTTTTAAAAAATTTAAATCTATGCTTCCTTTAAGTTAATAACATATGTGCGCATCATTATGTAGTATTAGTTCGTTAAAGAAGAGTATTCTGTGTATTTTAGGCTCTTTTCTTTACAATGAGCTAACTAGTAAGACACAAATATAAGAAAAGGAATCGAATCATGCAGATTTAAGAAATAAAGTTTCCATGGCATGTATTGCACGTTAATGGTTAATTATGGGACGAACTATCAACGTACGCCCCCTCCCCCTAAAGTTTACATATATAGTTATTCAAGCTGGCAACAACAAAAAACGCCCGCCCCCCACACCGTATAGAAAACTGCTAAATCAGTCTGTAACGCCAAGTAGTAGTTTACATTTTTAACTGTTACGGTGTATAATTCACTAATGCAGCTTTGAATGAGCTTTTTATAAAAAAAAATTCTACTCCGTTAGACGCCCCCTAAGGTCGGCCACCCCACTGACCGTCCCCTAAGTACGACTCTAGACAATACCCTATAAATTTCGCCCCTCCCCTTTTTTAACAAACACGACCGGGCGGTAATGTTCTTCTAGGCACATGCAAGTATTTCAAGTTCATTAAAAATATACGTAACTCAATGTATTTGTCAACAGACCAACTTTTTAGGACCGACTATTCTGGCTCAAGAAGTGTACAAGTCCATGAAAGAAAGGGAGATTGATGATGGTTACATCATATTCATTAACAGGTAAGCATAGGCCTGTATGTCTAACAACATGTAGTTTAGTAAGTTTTTCACCCGGATAATCAGCTTTACTATATAAATCTATAACTTAAACAGTTTAATTTTTATAACGGCCACTGGAAAATTCACTGCCAACCACGAGTATTAACTAAGAGATACAATTCTTATGACCCCAGCTCCCCCATCCAAGAAAAATGAGTTGATTTGACTTCATTTGCTTCAACACTAATATAGACTATGATGGGGGGGGGGGGGGAAGATTCTCCACGGAATACCTGAAAAAACTTAGTGAAGGTGTAATGGTTTTAAAATACTACTATACTTTTTTTAAAAATTACTGTATGTACACCGAACCGAACTAGTACAGTATTTTTATAATTATCTCCCCTCCCATCAGTTTGTCTGGACATCGGCTGATCCCAGGAAACAAAGATCTCCACATGTACTGTGCCACCAAGTTTGCCCTCAGAGCAATTGTGGAGGGCTTTAGGTTGGAGCTGCGACAAGTTGATTCCCACATTAGGGTTTCGGTAAGACAATTTTCTCAAGTTAGTTCAATAAACTAAAATTGTACCGTTAGCCAGAAGATTTTCACATTAGGGTTTCGGTAAGACAATTTTCTCATGTTAGTTCAATAAACTAAAATTGTACCAGTAGCCAGAAGATTTTCACATCAGGGTTTTGGTAAGACAATTTTCTCAAGTTAGCTCAATTAATTAAAATTGTACTGGTAGCCAGATTTCCAAATCATGATTTCGGTAAGACAATTTTCTCAAGTTAGTTCAATAAACTAAAATTGTACCGTTACCCAGAAGATTTTGACATCAGGATTTCGGTAAGACAATTTTCTCAAGTTAGTTCAATAAACTAAAATTGTACCAGTCGACAGAAGATTCTCAAATCAGGATTTAAAAAAAAAAAAAAAACCATTGCCAATTCATACTGACAGTGAAAACCTTACTTTAGTACGACCCAAATGCACTATGAATTCAGATTACAAGTATAAACTACTTTCCTTTTCAGTCTATTAGCCCTGGAGTGGTTGAAACTGATATTTTCAAGAAACTTTTTGATAATGACGAAGATAAAACCAAGAAGTTTTTATCAGAAAGAAAGGTAATCCCTAGTTTAAAATGAACACTAGCCTGTATATTAGTTACTTTTGTTTAGCCCATACTACTCCTGATTCAAACAACATTTGTTGCAGTACCTAGAGGCTGATGATGTAGCTTCCATGATTGTCACTTTGTTATCACAACCAATGCATGTACAGGTAAAACATTTTGGTTATTATGCACTCACAGCGAAGACTAATCTAGACTTTTTTTTCAATCATAGCTTTACCCGTATGTAAAATAGAATAAAAATCCCAGTGATGTATTTTCAGGTGCATGATATCCTCCTAAGATCAACAGAACAGATCCCTTAAAAAACAAGCCAAGAATGTGCAAACAAACATCAAGAAATAAAACAAAAGCAATGTTTTTTTTATCGTTTGTACTGTAGACATTTTTTTATCATTTATTTTTTTTTGTATTTTTAAAAGATTTCTTGCACCTTGCACTGCCTCATTTGTCAGCAGCAATGGTCACCAAAGTCACCTTATATACAAAAAATAAAAAAAGAGCCCCAGAGACCATAAACTGCATACAAACAAGACAGGCAAGTGGTACAAAAATAAAGACATCATTTAGCTGTATGTGCACCACAACTTTTAAGGTCCATATGCTTTGCACTAACTTGCACTTCATGCTACAACAGAGCTTTCAATTATATACAAACAATTCATACACCATTTTGCTCAGTGTTAACTTGTTTACTTGTGCATGTATTTTATAACAGCTGAACTAGCAAATTTGATTTTAATAGTACAACTAAAAAAAAATTAAATATATGAAATGTTTTATCAATTTGGGCCTGCCAAATTGAAATCATTCCATACAAATTTAAAAATATGATTACACTTAAAGCAGAACTTGATACAAATTAATTTTAATTGTTAAAATTAAAGTTTAAAAAAAAAAGTAGTAAAAAAAAGAATTATTTATAAAATATTTTCATACACAAGTAGTCAAGAAACGTACATGCACACACACCTCTATGTACAAAACTTTTAAACCTTTTACCTCCCTAACCATCTAGCTGCTACAGCACACACAAACACTGTCAGTTTCAGGCACACTAATTGTCCCACACAGCATCAGATATGTCAGAGTGATGAGTACAAGATGAGCTCCACTAGAAATTAACCTACAGCTGCTTCAAACATTTTGAACAAGTTTTCAAAAAGATTCTGTTGAGATGAAATGAATAACTGGGTGCTTGTAGATTTTATTTTAACTTCAGCTTGCTATTCTTATAATGGCCTGATTTGCACTTAAGTTATGCTGAATGCAGAAGTTTTGGCTAAAGCAAAATACCACAAGAAGACAATGAATGGCCTCATCCATCACAAACAATTTACCCTTTACACGTTTCAGTTTAAATGCTACAGGTCAAAACCTTTCCCATAATTTATGTGAAATAGTAGCAAACAGATTGAAAATAAAAATGATTTGCACACAACCAAGTTTTTTAAAGATATTTACTAACAAAGTCTGTTTATAAAATCTTACTAGGGCTCTGTTGTGTTCTTATGACATGAATAAGTGCTAAAATACTGATGTGACCATAGCAATCGTACAGAATCATAGAGCCCTTTGCACCACTTCTCCATGGAAAGACCAGATAACATTTTTTTTAACAAAAACATAGAAAAATATTGCATTGCTAACCAGCACGAACTTTATATGGCTAATGGGAGGGTGTAAGGGGCTTTACAATCTGTAACTAGGGAGGTCAAAACTAGAGATTTTCAAATAAGCAGATCACAGCTACTCCACATTAACTATACCATGAGCATTCAGCAATCTCCTGTTTCCATCTCTTGATAGATAAGGCTTTCACTGACCAAACTGATACAAGAGGAGTTTTTTTTTTAGTCTTAAATGCTGGATTTTTATTTACACTGTGGGTTTGAAAACTTTGGTTTTGGACGGCCCCACTGAAACTGCAGGTTGATATATAGTCAGCTCAAGATGCCATATATGTTGATGTGAGGGAGGATGAAAGGTGAGGAATACTTGCTTAAATCTGAGATCCAATTAGCTGCAAAGCACTAATTGCAGTTGTCATGTGGCAAAATAAAAACAGCTCTTGCCTGACACGGCTCACTGGAACTTCCTCATTTGTATCCTTATTTTTTAAAATCACAAGCTCTATTGTAAGACGAAGTGACTGACAGAGTTATGGTCTCAACAGATTGGTACACTCAACTAGTTCAAGTCTCTATCTTCCAAATACCTATATTCAAATGTAAAACCCTCTTTCTTCTTTTGGCCCCATTTCTCATAATCAAAGTAGATATATGTGCCCTGAAACAAGTACAAAAAAATGGTATCAATTTTAAAATACATAAATTATCAAAGATTGAAAATAAAGGCAAATATATTTAATCTTCATTGATGAATTTATAGCTTGATGAATAAAACCTGTATGGTTTATTCTCCATTCACCGTTGAATAAAACCTGTATGGTTTATTCTCCATTCATTGTTGAAAACCACTGAGTAACTCATTAAAACAAAAATCTCTACTTAAATTTAAATATGTTAAAAAAGAAAAACAAATATAACTGTCACAGTTTACTATGAACATGGCACTATTGATTTTGGTATGGCTAGTTGGTTTAACATTTAACAACTAGTTTTATTTAGAAATTGATTCTGCAAAAACAAAAGAAAATTATTCAAACATGGTTTATAAATTATTTGCTTCTCAATTTAAACTGCATACTAATTTAACAAGTTCAATAAGCTAACTAAATGACTGATATCACAAACTACAAGCATACTTTTTAAAGCTTAATTTTAAGTCTTGCTAATCACAGCTATGGACACTGCCACTGATACAAGTTTTTGTATTAAAATGGAGAAGTGATTGCTAAATGTACTGCCTAACATTAAGAAAATTTCTAAATCTAAATGCTTAATTAAAAAAGGCAAAACAGCTATATGAAACATTCATATTTATATATTCCATATTTATATTCCAAAACATTTGATTTCTAATAGCAATTGTTTAAAATAACAGACAGAAATGATATGAAAAGCAAAAGACTAATTGTTGCAATCTCAATTCTTTGATCTCAATATAACTAAAATAAACTATAGATCACGGGTTCCCAACCTGGGGGTCGCGACCCCCCTGGGGGTCGCGAAGTGCTTTCTGGGGGGTCGCCAACTGGTATACTAAACCTTAGTAATTTGAAACAAAACAAATATTTAGAAGAATTTTTGAAATTCGGCTTTACTAACATCACTGGAAAGGGAATAGAGAAGAAGCAAAGCGTACTCTACAAAGTTGTTCTCAGTCACTAGTTTATAAAATGGTCAAAACTAAAACGTCATTTGACACGAGTCATTCGAAACACACCAAAAAAGATATGGAGTTCTTTCGTCGGTATGAAGCTAGTTGCAAACGTCAGAGACTTGATCGAATTGGAAGTTTTCACCAAGGAAACTCAGCATTAGTGCAAGCATCACATGAAGTCGCGACAGAAAATGCCAATCAAAAAAAAACACAATAGGAGAAAATCTCATCAAACGCTGCATGTTGAAGATGGTGAAGTTAATTCTTACATGTCTGTAGATGTTAAATAACACATTTTTATTGAAATTAAGCTTTCACCATTGTTTGCTTTTCAAGTTGATAAATCAACAGACGCGAGTTCGTGTTCGCAGTTGCTGGTCTTTGTCTATATTTTATTACTAGCCGTCCCGGCCAGGCCCTGCTCTGGCTTCTGTGAAAAACCTTTCTGTTAAAGACCATTACCTGTGTGTTTAGTAATCATCATAAACCCGGCATTGCCCACCCAAACCACAACCAACCAAAACAACAAAACGCAAACATAACGCTTACACAATTACAAATACAAAAGAAAACAAAAACCTAACAACAAACCCAACCACAACCACAAACACCAATACAAACACAAAGAAAAAACAAACAAAAAAGCAAACGAAAACAAAAACCTAGCAACAAACCCAACCACAAACACCAATACCAACAAAAAAAAACAACGAAAACGCAAACGAAAACAAACCAAATCCAAACGCAAAACCAACCAAAAACACAAATACAAACCCAAACAAAAAAACACAAACAAAAACGAAAAAAGAAAGAACAAAAACGAACCAAATCAAAACGCAACCATTAACGCAAACCCACCTAAACACAAAGAAAACACTAACGCGAACATAAACGCCCGGGGCGGAATCACCTGTTTTAGCTTAATGAACGACTATAGTACCCCAACTTATTCACAGTCTTTTGCACTCACTTAAACGAACGCGCCTGTTTCAATTTAATGAACAATTTTAATACTCCAAGCTTATCCGTAAAATACCTACAACATTTGCACTTGATCAATCCCCGCTAATTATGTAATTATTTTTTTTCCCAACACCAAAACAAAGTAATAAAAAGTAAATTATTTTCCGCTAACGCAATGGTTTTATAAAGGGAAGTAATTGTGTTTTCCTAATTTATCAAAGGGAAGTAAGTGCTATAGGACTAAATAAAGACATAATTAGAATTTTTGTAAAAGATGATATTTTTTAAAAACTTTTGTTTAATGAACATGCCGACAATTATTATTATAATTTGAAAAATGAAAAATATTTCCCAAAACTTTCAATAGTAATTTTTTAACTCATAAATTTAGAGAAATGCGCACGATAATATTATAACACTTTAATCCATCCAAGACCAACGACAAACATATGCATTACATACAGAACTGAGCTTTATATATTAGATTTATTCAGATGATAGCAAAGAAGAGTTGCTCTTTTGTGAAGATAGCATGGCGAAAAAAATAAATAGGTTTTTTTAAATTATATGATTAAAATGGGTTAAAACGGCTGTGAGGGTTTGTACGGATGGTCCACCATCTATGTTTAGGTTAAACTCGGGCTTTCAGAAAGCAGAAAAGATTTAGCTCCCTAACCACTGCCCTCACTAATCGCCATCAAGACTCCATTGCTAGTATAAGTCGTAAATTTTATAAAATCTGAAGCCTTCAAAGAACTGAGCAAAGACATGAATAAAGATCACGAGGCTCTGCTCTTCTACACTACAGCGCGCTGGCTGTCAAACGAATTGTTGTGAATCGTGTTTTTGAATTGAAATCTGAAATCAAATTGTTCTTGGAAATGCAAAGGAAACAAGACCTTTTGGTATACTTAATACGACATAGAGTGGTTGGAGAGAGTATCATACCTAGCAGATGTGTTCGAACATCAACATAAGCATAACCTGAAGCTTCAGGGGAAATGAACGAATATTATCACTTTCCATGATAATCTCGGGGCATTTTTATCAAAGCTGCAAAATCGGCGAAGAAAATAAATCTTGGAAATATTGTAAATTTGAGAAACTCTGCAGTGTGGTAGATGAATCTAATTGTGAGATAATTAAAATTTTGAAAGAAGAAATGTCTGGGCATCTTGAATCTATTGAAAACGAACTGCAGCGCTATTTCTCTGAGCTGAAAAAAAAAGAATCTGCATTGACGCATTACCCATTCTCTTTTTCCCTTGATGTTGCCAGCATTCCCAATGAATTACAAGATGAATTCTTTGATTTGTAGAATGATTCCGCGTAAGATGAAAAACTTCAGACACAATTTTGGTGTAGTATTAACCATTTATATCCAAACGTAAAATTGATTGACTTTTCGGGAATAAAATTTTATTTTGAACACTATTTTTCGATTAAAAACAAAATTAAGATAATGATAATGACATAGGTTGGCGTTAACAAAAAAAAATACTTTAAAAAAATTAACCTCGAATGTTTAGTGAATAGTATGCAATTTTACTCATGGTATTAAAACAGTTATCAAGAGTAGTTTATATTGAAAGTCTACTAGAAAATCTTATTTTAGTGCTTATTGATTTCCATACTAATTTCGGCTTTTTAATTCTATGGGGGTCGCGGGTCACTTAATTTTTATAAAAGGGGGTCGCCACTCGAAAAAGGTTGGGAACCACTGCTATAGATTGAAGGTTAATGAAAACATGTAAACAAAAGGGATGCTACTCTAAATCTACGTAAATACTTATATGTAACAATCCTAACAATTTTGTTTAAAATTTTGTTTAGATATAGTTCAATTACTGTTTACAAAAATTGCATGTAAGATACAAAGAAAATGAAATTTCTGATTTCCTTTTTTATTGTTGATTTTTTTTAAAACTATGCTTTAAACAAAATAGGCCCTCTATTTAATTTGACTGATGCACTAGTATATGGGATGGTGTGGTTGAACAGTAGAGCAAACCCGAATGTCTCAAGTTTGAATCACAGGCTTGAGTGGACAACAATCTCTGATGGGTACCTGATGTAGTTTAGGGAAACTAATAAAGGTAGCCGAGCATCATGCTGACTACAGTATCTTTTAAGCTGAAGTCACAAACAGATCAACTCAAAAACATCCTCATGGTTTAAAAGGGTAACTTTACTATGCCCTCATAAGCTTTTATAAAGGCTGATGTATGCCCTCATAAACTTTTATAAAGGCTGATGTAACAAGTTTAATTATATTAAAAAATAAGTACATTAAATTGATACTTTACCTGCTCGAATTCCTCTGTGATTTGTTTTGGCTCTTCATGTCGCTGAAACCACATCATATATTTTGTATGAAACCTCCACGATTGTTTCTTCAATGCTTTTGCTGCCAAGTATTGAGCTTTTGTTCCCTAAATTAAAAAAAAAATATATTTAATCTTTCTGTGATCAATGTCAAGTACTTCCACTAAACTTCAAAAGTTTTCTGAATTAAGAAATTGTATCTGTACCTCCATATAGTAAAATATGAAGAAAAGCGTTTCCGTGCCACACCGCTGATAAAACTCAACAGTATCAGCATGAGGAGATGAAGCTGACGGATAATAAGACGCCGTCGGACATGGGTTGCGGGGCAAGAAGTGTCTGAAAAATGTGTTAGGGGGTTTGAAATATAATTTAAAAAATAGATTAAAATCTTAAAGATACTGAATAAAATTATTACTTTAAATACCTCATTCGTTCAGAGTCTGAAGGGTGTGGAAGATGGTGGTATGCCGCATCCACCATAGCTGACTGATAGTGCTGTTCTTTTGCAAGTTGGACTGGGCCGAGAGGTGCCATTCCTAACAATGGATTTAGGTGAATAGTATTCGTCTGCGGAACTTGGGGCATCTGCTGTTGCTGTGGCAACTGAGTTAACTGCTGATCTGATATACTGACAACTGAACACTGCTCTGATGATAAGGTAACAATGGGTTGTGATGGCGCTTGAGATGAATTATTGTACACATCTGAAAAGAGTTTCAAAATTTTGCAAACTACTTCATATTAGGACAATTGTTATTGAACTATAAATCCAACTATTAAAAGAAAGTTTTCAAACTATCAAAATGTAATATCTTATTATTGACTCTAAAAACTTGTAAGTTTGTTAAATTAGTGAAACTAAGTATTTTTCAAACAGCTACCAGATAAATATTTTTTAAAGTGTTGTTGGGTAGTTACAATAACTTAGCTACCAACAGAATATACCGTAATCAGTTTTTTTTGGTTACGGTTAGAAAAATACTTAACACTTCCTTGCCGCAATGGTATGTACAATGAAAAAAAGCATTATGCCTAAACTCACTCGAAGATTCAACAGAGGTGTGAGATGAAGGCGATATTTTTTCTAACTCAGCATTTGCAATCACTTGCTGTGCCATTGTTTTCAATGAAAACTCGTCATTCTGTCCCAGAAAGGTGGCGGTGATTTAATTTGAACCATTACATAAAAGCAATAGGAAAACAATTATATAATCTCAATAATAGAACATTAACAAAGTTTTTGTTTTATACAAGACAAACTCGATGGATTCATTAAAGGAGACATAAAATTATCTAGCATTTTTAATTGAGACCTATTAAAATCAGTATAGTAAAAACTAATCACCTTAATTTTTTGCGACGACGTTGGACCATTAATACTAATAGGTCCATTCATGACAGGTGTACTGTCTGTTCGACTGTTATGGACCTGAGATGAATTGTTGATACCTGACGATGCAGAAGAGTTTACAGTACTAAGAGATGCAGCAACTGAAACCGTAAGTGGTGATGGCGCTGAGGGCACAGAGGGATTTCCCGAAGAAGTTAAGGAGACAGAGTTTGTATTTGTTGAACTTGACAAGGTACCAGTACTTGTTATGGTTGCAGATCCAGCATGATCAATTGAATTTACATGAGGTTTGGTAGAATCTGTAACAAAGCAAATATCCACATGTAAGTACACTGAGTAAAGATCCTCAAGAATACACACTACACATTAGAGCAAAGAAGTTTTTTTTTTAATATGATCTTTAGGACATGTTTACCATTGGGGGCTGCTCCATGAAAACAGCTCAGTCAATTCAAAACAAGTTAAAAAATAATGCTACTCTGTGTTTACTAGTCTAAAAATAGATTTCTTTAAACCTTAGTTTTTAATAGTACACACTTAACACATGATATTAAACCAAGAGTTCAAACCAATAAATTAAATGCTAGGTTCCTGTTATAAGAATGTATCTTATAAAAAATAAGCATCTTTCACTTTTATTATAATAAAAACATTTTAATCATTCAAATGAAAGTATTTATTCATAGTAAAATAATTATGAGACAATTTTACTAATGAAATGGATCATCATGTCTAAAAAAAGTCTCTTAGTGGTATGTTTGTTACTTTCATTATGCTATATATCCATATATTTTTCACTAAAAAACATTACAAAAAGTATGACGGTACTGTATGTTGCCTCCCCATTTTTATCTAATGTTTAATCAGGAATTTTTTATTACAGCTTAAATAATAGACCTCGGCCTCAGCAGATCAGAACTAAATGGATTAATGAAACTTTTCATTTGAAACATCTTTAAAAATGTTATACCCATTTTAAAAAATACATGTAACTGTTGTGTGTCTATTTTTTGGATCCTTACTAATGCAGATGGGCACCCATAAACACTGCTTAGCATTTTGTATGCATTTAATCATTTTCATTAGCATTAAAAATAGCTTCATAGGAACCAATTAATCTAAAACTAATTAATATTGTCAATATTATCTCAATGAGTGATAGATTACAATGATTGATTTTAAGCAATTACTTTACTATTAAGTGATACACCTACCATTTTGAATACTTAATACCTTACGAATTAAATGTTATAATTAGTTCAAGACTAAATGATTATTTAACTTTAATTGTATAAATTTATCAATAAAAATGTGTGATAAAAAAACCAGCAGTCAGCCTACAAAGGTTGTCAAAGATGTGTCTTATGATGACCTGTATAATTATTATTTCATGTGAAAAGAAATTGTGACAAAAAGAACAACTTAATAGTTTTCAAAAGTAAATACAACTTCCCATTCCCCAAACAAACTGCATCACACCTGATTGAAACTGAACAAAAAATTCTAAAAGTTAGGGTTGACAAAAGTAAATTCAGCCCCAGCTACAGAGAGGATTAACAGCCCACTCTTTTTTTCCCTTCAAATTGGAACAGGAGAAAAACACTAGTTTCATTTTTAGCTGGTTTAAGTTGTCTGTTATTTTTTTTAATTTGTTGATAGGAAAAATGTTTACCTAAGGACTGATCACATGGTTAATAGTGTAGTTTTCTGCTTAATATAGTCTTATAAGGACATTTGTGTGGAGTGAGTGAAAATACACCTATATTTCTATGGTGACTCAACACTAATATTTAATATGATTTTGAAAATCTAATGGAAAAAGTGTATATAGTTCACTATCAAGAATATACACATAAGTATTGATAATAAATGTTAATTATCTTAGTCAATTAAAAACAATTATTAATAGTATCAGTGGAGAAAATGCATATTATTAAAATACTAGATTCTATATATTATAATTTTTTATTTTGCACTTGGATAAAACTAGACGAGAAGGTTAAGAAATACAAACAATGACTAAGCAATTCTCAAGAATGTTGAAGATTTTAGAATAGGGCTGGAATACTAAATAATTTCAAATTTATTCTTTTAATTTTATACAGTATATTGAAATGAAACTTAGCCTATCGCTGTTTAATATTCCATCCCTTTGTGTAGAACCCAAGGTTATTTAATATTCCATCCTTTTTTATAGAAACCCAATTTATAAAAGCAAAGTTACTATTTAATGTAAGCAAAGCTATACACAACCTTATTTTTTAAGTGACCTGGGAACCAATTTAGTGCAAGCAAAGTGACCTTTAAACCAGGCCTTATTACATTTCTTATGGGGGGATGGGGGGGGGGGGGTGTGGTGTTCCCAATAGTTGGTGATCCTGCTATCAAAAATAGGTTTTTGTCAGTAACTAGCACAAGCTCCTCAATTATGTGAAAAATATGTAGGTGTTAAAATGTAAAAATACCCGATCTGAGATTAATTTTATAACCACATTAATTTTTACAGTTTACTTAATTGAATACTACAGAAATATGCTTTATTGATTTTAACAATTGAATACACTGATATATGTATATGGTCAGTTGTTTAAAAATGTGTAACAATATTTTTTAAATATTTTGGCTCATTAAATCAATTATTGCATTCCAGAAATCCATACAATACACCTTGGATAAAATTAAAAAATTTTAAAATTTGCCCCGGAGCTGCTAGATAGATCTGAAGTGGAATTTATCAACCCTAACTTCAAGTCACTTTCAAAACAGTGATATATATATAAATATATATATATATATATATATGTATACATGTGTGAATCTTACCAATAGGAAAGCTAGTTTGGGCGGTTAAGCTACGGTGCCACACTGAAGGTGTGGTGGTGTGCGTTAATCGAGAACCTATAAGGACATACAATAACCATATTACCTAATCTAACATTCATAAATATAAAAAAGCACAAACAAATTAACTCTTTAAGACCATAATAATGCTCCCAGCATCCAATAAAATAATATTTTATGTATTTAATCGGTTGTTTTGCTGAATAAAGATTATTAATAATCATAAATCTTTTAGTTGTATTTACTGATTGTAGTTTTCATTTTTGGTTGATTTCATAGAATTTTATAGAATTTTTTTGTGTAAAACCACTAGCAAAAGTTTTTGTAAACACAGCATCAAAATAGTTAGGTCGGAGCGTTTTTCCCAACAAAAGCACATTTCCCCCGAAAAAAAGTTATTCTTTATTTTTTCTACTTTAAAAACAAGTAATTATCTTTCTTCCATACATAAATAATTAGTTTAAATTAATATAAGTGTGTAGGACATAGAATTATAATTAAGTTATTTTAGTAACATGCGTGTTTTAAGTTAACGGGTAAAACTATGTGAGTTGTTTAGCTGCATAAATACTGAAAAAAATAATGAAAATAATTTCGGTCTTAAAGAGTTAAGCATAAACACTTTTTAACAAAAGAACCTTAACATAAACAAAAATATGATTTATTGGTACAACCCTATCTTTTTTTCAGGCAATTGTTAAATACTTTAGATAGAGTCTTGGGATAGTAAAATGTACAACTACATATAACTATTTTATACTGAATACATTATATGTGACATACAAAGTGATGAATGCTGTTTACACGTAGCAGAAATTTTACAGCATTCCAATTTCTAGCGCAGTAACTTAAAGCAATATTTTATTTTAAAAGTTTGCAAAAAGAAAAATTCTAATAAAAGGATATATATGGCGTCCAAAACCGTAAGACTGAAAAATGTGTGAAGTCAAAGACAACTACTCAAAAAGAACTGTAAATGTGATTTCATTGGGAACTGTATTTGTAAACCTTATATTTTAAAAACATTTCTGTATTCATAAGCTTACACTAAAAATTAGATTTAAAGATTTAATAATAAATTCAAAGACACTTTGCTGTATCATGAGTAACTTTTTTTCAATATGGTTATGTTTGGTGATCGTGGAAAATTGACTATATTCAGTGATTTCTAACTATTATTTTATTATTATTGTTAAGTCATGCACAAGTTGAGAACTGCTCAAGCAACAGGAAATATTTTTTAATAATTGTTTAACCTAAAGCCTTTTGTAGTATTAAAAAAGTTTCAGAATATCAATTTTAAATAAAACTACAACGTATATGGTGTAATTCTAACTATGTAATTACACTTAAAGCTCCAGTTCAATAACAGTGACAAACAACTACTCTGCCTACCTGTGGTACTGTTGTTCTGCTGTCCTCCTGCAGCTGCAGCATAAGCAGTTAAAGACGCCGGTGTTGTCGATGGATAATGGTTAGTATTCACAGAGTTGCTATCTGAGTTTTGTGCACTAGTATTGCTGTGAGATAAACACATTTAGAAAATTTTGAATACATTAGCAGAGTTACTAGTGCAACATTAATTACAACCAAGAACTTGAGAATCCCATAATATTCAAGTTCTATAAAAATATGGTTTTTCAGTCTTTATTATTAAATGTGTACATTTTGGGCCGCTTCTAAAGACTGACTATCTTGAATGCGCTGATAACTTGACAGTTTTTTAAGCCAGAAAACTTCAAGAATGCAATGTTCTAGTTAATGTATGATCTTTACATGGTTGAAACATGACATCTTTAATTATTTGTTTGTTATGGCGTTGATCAACAAGTAGCTCTTGAAGAGGTAGATGAGCCATCAAGCATTGTGAACACTTAATGGAGTCAATACTGATGCAGCAGCTAAGTTCACCCAGCCAACCAAATAGGTCTGAGGGATCTCATGTAGTGACCTTGCGACCTGAGATGAATTAGATTACATTCCAGTAAATAAAGTTACCTTTATTGAAATACCAGTCATTTCAATCACTGTCAGGAAGTCAAACGCACATGTTTCTTTTTGCATTTCCAAAATTATTTCGCCATACAAAAAGTATTTAAAACTCAACTCACTTTTGAGAATGTTGTTTAACCAAAGACGGGGGTTTAGAGTTGCCTAATGGTGCCGGTGATGCACTTTTCTGCTGAAACAAAAAAAATATGAAAAAAGATATATACATTCAAGCACACTATACAAAGGAGAAATTTTTAAAAATCCTTTCTGTGAAAATTTATCTTTGAAGTTTTTAAGCTATAAAAACATTACACATAGAATAGCATTTATAAGATGAATAAATAACAAAATGTGTGCAAGGAAAATAGAAACTTAATGCTATACCTCTTCTGACTGAGATTTATGTCTTTTTCTATCCACATCATCATGCTTTTCCTGTAAATGAGGTACATTGAATGTTTAAGTTTAGATGGAGAATAAATTGTTCTCAGTTATATAGCTTCACATTTTTATGAAAGATTATGCATCATCAATTCTTAGGTTTGCTCCAAAATTATGAATTCAAATTTTTACCACAAATCTGCTTGACTGTAAAAGTTCTCTTCAATTTTAAGTAATTTAAGTTTATTTTAAAATCTCAAGTTATTATCAAAGTGTTGATGGCAAAAATGATAAGATACCACTGGCAATCATATATGGTTTTTAAAGATGCCTAAAAACTAAAAAAAAATTATTTTCATTCACTTTCATCATCCAGTTTTGAGGTATTATTTATTCTTTAATAATTGGGTTGAAATAATTTTTAAAAAATATACACATAAATCTAGACATAAGATTTTAATTACCCTTAAATTTACAGTTTTCTCATTAATACTGATATTTGTAACTCATGATTTACTTACATTGGAATGATTGGCATTTACACTGGGACTAGGTGAAGGAGAACTAGAGTTTGTTGATGATGGTGTGCTTACAACTTTATCCATGAATTCATCACCTTCAGTTGGCGATGACGCCAATGCTGGTGCATCTGCTGCTCAAAATAAAAGACAAAATGTCAGAGATACATAAAAAGCATTTTACAAAAAGGTACTTGAAATGATTGATAAAAAGGCAGCACTGAAGCTGAGATTTAGCTCATAAACCTACTGCACATTAAAAATCTTGCTTTTCATGCATAATAACAGAAAATCCTGAAATCTAGCTAATATCTTATTTAATAGTAATAAATATTTTTATACTTGACAGAAGTGTGATCTTTTTATAATGTTTAAGTTTTTTTTAATCAATTCAATTATAAAAATGGGTTAGAACATTTATACAGCTTCCAGCCCCAAGTGCTAATATTACAACTCATGATTTCATTCCATAAAGTTAAAGCATATATTCAGTGGAAATATTTTCACTACTAGTTCAGTTGTGTAGATTCCCCTCATTCAAACATATATCTTATTTGATCTTAAACTGTAGTACCAGGCAGATTGTTTATCATAAAAATATGATTTTTATGTGGAAATATCTGAGAATGAGGTTGATGAAACATTTTTAGTAGTTTATTAAAATCAGGTCTGGCAATGGGGAAATTAACAGTAAAACTATATCTGGTACACGCATTATGCTTGGCAAATGTAGGGTTTACCGAAAAAGACATACAAAAACCATGATGGTGATAAAATGATACTTACGGATTTCTTCCAGATCTAGATCATCATACATATTAAAATTTTCTTGAAATCCAGGTTCTTGATTAGACTCCACATAGTACTCTATATCATCCTTAAGTTCTTTAATCTGAAACAACAGAATCTGATTCAATGCTCGAGGAACTTTAATAACAAATGTCAATTTTAACCAAAACTTTAATACTGCTAAGATTAACTCAACAGAATGAAGTTTGTTGAAGCTGATAAAGACCAACCACTAACAATCTTGTTTATTTTTTCTGGATACTATTTCTAGTTAGAATATGGAATTTACCCCAAGAACAAAAAGTAGCTGCCTATTTAATTTTGTTTTGAAGAATAAAATTTTATATTGTGGATAATATTGTGCACAGGATTACTCACCTTTTCAACAGACAATTTGTCATTGTCAACTTGTCTCATGATTTTCTCCAATGTATCTATGTGATGTCTATGATTTTCTTGAAACTGTTTAAGCTCATCTACTTTGGGGTCCTATATAAAAAAATGAAAGCATACATATAGAGTAATTCACCAAGCTACAATGTTAAAATCCAAGATATTAATTTTTTTAAAACAGCTTAAATAAAAGAAAAAATAGCAATGAGGGAGTTCACTTATGAATAATGGATAAAATAAACAGAAATGTATACTCTATGACCATACAATAAAAATTATAGCAAATAGAAATGATTTCTAACTAATATGAATGAAGAAAAAAAAGTATGAAATTTTTATAAATTATCATACTTACTTCACCTACCTTTCCCTTTTTTTTATTAGAGCCAGCCCTTGATTCCAGTTCACTCTCAAACTGATCAAGTTGCAATTGAAGGGTATCTATCGCATTCTGCAACACAACAAGATGATGTTACACAATGCATATTTTTCTACAATTTTGTTGTAAAAGAGTTTTGTTAATTTTATCACTGAATATTGCAGTCTGGCTAATATAAAAATGCCAATGAAAATAATAATTACCGATAACCATTGGGTGGTTTCTGCTTTCTCTTTTGTCTGAGGGTCAAGTTTTGCTGCGGCACCTAACCCATCTTTAGAGTATGCTTTTGTTTTTGTTTCTCGTTCCACCACCTTGAACCGCTCCATTTGCTGCAAAATGATTAAGTCTAACCATTTTAAAATCCTTCACGCATTTTTAAAAAAAAAAAGTGTTTGATACATATTTTAGAAAAAAACTACTGATTTCAGACAAATATAAAACAAAGAAACCATTTAGCAAAAGTAATAGATGCACATTTTTATTTTTTAAGATTCATTTCATAGAAGGGACAATCTAATTCAGAAATTAGTACTGTTTTTTTAAAAAGTGCAACATTTTATAATACACCTACCGTCTCGATTAATTTGCGGTGATCTATAAGCGAGGATTTGTCTTTTATGTCGCTGTTGGCAATCCATGACTTGATTTGGTCTCGAAGTCTCTATAAAAATTTTAAAAATGCATTAACAGACCAAAGATAGGTATTAAAAACAACAATACATTACACCATAATCAATTATTTTTAAGCTACTGTCTAACAGTAGTAAAATAGCTTTAGCCATAGGGTTATTAATTTAGAAAATGTGATAAGAATTCTTACCTGTAGCTTTTTTATCTCTTTTTTAAGGTCAGTTTCAAATTTTTCCTTTTGATTACTATTTGTAGCAGTTTGAACCTGCAAAATGGGTCGCTAAATGTAAGGAGAGTTTTATTAAGCAACCAAATTTGATTTTTTTAAAGAGACTTTTGATTTTAAAATGCTAATGTTTTCTTGAAATAGGAACTATGTAATGGTATATTTTAAATTAAAAAATTATCTTAAGTTAATCATAACCTTATCACATAATGAATACCATTGTAGTATGCAATGTAGTAATGAAGAAAATGATGAAGCCCATTTTTAATATTATATTGGGTTAAAAACAAATAATTAAATAAGATTAAAATTAATATTTCAAGGGGTTTACTGTGGTAAATAATTAAGTGTAATGTTTTTGTTACATTACTCATTTTTAAGTAAAAAAAAAAGTATTTAGGTAAATATTCAATTTTTTTTTCACTTTCAGGATTCAATTTACCAATTTAATAAGAATAAAAAAACAGGTTAAGTTTAAAATTGTCTAGTGAAATAAAATGAACATATAAAATTAATCAGTGCAGTTTTGTTTAATGATGCAGCATTGTTAGTGTTTGGTTTATAGGCCTAATATAATACTGTTTTTAATTTTAATTAAAACTTTACCTAAATTTTAAAATTATTTTTAAAAATAAAATTATACTTATGGATAAAAAAAACCCACTGACTATTGGTTTTCCTTTTTTAAGTTCTGCAATGCAGCTTATATAGATTTAATTGAAGTACAATAATTGTGATTTCAAGTTGTTACATTTTTAAAGATTTGTTATCCAAAAAGTTTTAAAAAGTGAGCTAATTGAACAATGACATTTATAATTAGATATTTTAAAGGAAGCTTTTACAAGGAAATAATGTATTTGTTAGCTAAGTGACACACATAACAAACCTTCTTCCAAATATCTTCAAAGGTTTCCACACCTTCATCTACTTTCTTTAAACATCTATCTATCTCACCTGTAAAGATAACCAAAATAAATATAGGCTTATATGAATAGTTAGTTACACAAATGTCAGAAAATAAAATCTTTAAAAAAAGGGTGTTAGGTTATCGGTAGTCAACTAAAATATACACATCGATTGCTCATGTCAATGCTAACCTTATCCCTAACCACAACCCTATGCCTACCATATGACTAACCCTAATACTAGTTGAAATTACAATCTAACACACCTATCTTTGCAAGAGTCAATTATCAGACATCGGTATCTTCAATCATCCTAATATATCACTATTTGCAATACCAACTCAAATGCGTTACACAGGCCCTAATACTAATAGCCTACTTTATCTTCTACTTTTATTTCTCTGCATCTGGTTCAAACAATAACATGAAAGGGTGAGGATGTGTTTGATGCTTTTTTTGCAAGTTTTAGACTACAATCTCGAGTCTACAACAAATAGACCTACTTGATGGGATCACTATATCTAAGTGAAGTACCCAAATATTTTATGGCCGATGCTAGCCGGAAAAAGATACGCATGCACAATGGAGAGAAACTACGACTTGCCATCGCGGCGATGTTTTCGATGGTACTGCGCGTGCGTGGGTTTACAACCACAAAACCCTAACCCTAATCATATCCCTAACCCTCATTCTAGCCCTAACCCTAGGTCACTGTGCATGCGCATAGCTATCTTTTGCCGACTAAGTGGAGACGTTGGGGAGAAAAATCTTCTTCCGAGTAGTCACTTCGATATTTTATAGCTACAGAAATATTAAAAAAGGCATTGTTGCTGGCTCAGTTAGTACTACAGGGTGTTGATTCATAAAACAAGGCCTAGTAACTAATATCTACTAGCTGAGGTAGATCTGGATAGTTACAACAGAAATGGATAAGCCTAGAAAATTGCTAGATTCTAGATAAATTCAGTAGGTTACTTTCAATTAGGGAATTTAGGCCTAGAGTTCCTTGCTTGTATTTATTTAGATCTAAATGCAACCCTTGTGTTACTTTTGTTATAGATCTAGTACTGAACTGTCAATAACCAGCCTTTTTTGTTACATTTTTCTCATCAATGCTAATATTTCTTTTGTTTTCTCTTCTGCACTAGATCCACTGATCTAGGAATAACTACTAACCAGATTACAGCTCTCAATCTAAGATCTAGTTATCTAGATTTTACATTAGTCTGTGAGTAGTCTGTTCTGAGTAGAGTAGTGAACAGTAGTGGAATGGGGGTGAGAGGGTTGAATGAAGGCATGGAGGGCATTATTTTGTCCTATACAGCCAGCTGATTTGACCAATTACCAGGCCTAACGCATGATAAAATTGTGCCGTAGTATACACTACTCCTGAGTTTTTTGCACTAAAAAAGTGACTACTGAGTAGCCAAAGCTAAAAAATGAAGTTAGGAAAGAAACAATGAAAACACACGATAGGAAGCAAGCAAGCCATTCATAACTTTTTGATACCTTGAAGCTTTCGCCTGTCAGCCATGCCTTAACCCTATACAGAAATGTGGATGTTGCATGCTACAGAGGAGCAAAGCAACAAGGATCTTTATTTGTAGTCCGAAAATATACGATTTTGTCACTTCTTGATTATTCCATCAAAACCAAAATGGCGTTTCCTAAGGTCCGAAGCACTCATTAACTATACGCTTTTGATTTGTCCCATTTATCGATGACTAAATAGTTCTCAGTACATTTTAATAGATTTATCAATTTAAAAATAAAAGAAGGAATCGTTATTAATTAAATGTTAGTTAAATTATTAATATTTAATCTGTGTAAATCAAAGCAATATAGAAAATATTTCTTAATATAGTGTATGAATATATTAAACCGGATGTATATATAGAATTTAGTGCGCATGTGGTTGCTCACTGTTTACAATAGTTTACATGTTTCTGCTATGAGACTAATGAAGTAGAGAGATCTAGATTTTTTTCTAGACCTTTAGATCTAGAAGCTAGATCTATCTATTCAAATTATTTCTAGATGCTAGATCTTACCCAAAATGAAGTGGTATAAATTATACTAGCTAGAAGTTTATCTTTTGCATCGCAGTGTACTTAATAAAATGAACACTTACTTTTGTAGTGTGTGGGGTGTGTGTAGCCTACCGACCGGAGCTACCGTTTTCTTAAATTTTCTTTTATTTACAATTTAGATTTTTAGAATAGTTAGAGTTAGAAGTTAGATTATTCTATTCTAGTTTTAGCTTTTAGTAATCTAGTTAAGTAGCCTAAGCCTAATGATCTAATCTAGATATACAATACTAGAATCTATTTTGAAAGTACTTAGTGAAGTTAGTAAAAGTAGAGATCCAAAGTTTGGAGTAGATATCTGGGAGGGGGGGGGTGTTGTATACTTATTACTATACTATTGTATGATGATAGAAGGGACTTCTTAAAAAAGGGGTGCCCTGTTAGGTTACTGGTGGTTGGACTAACAGTTAACTGAAATGCTTCAATGGCTTGCTAATGAATGTCAATCAATACAATAACATAATTATAGTCAATCAATGCTAACCACAACCCTAGTCCTAGTCCAGCCATATTTCTCACCATAAAACTAGTCGAGATTATGATACTACAGCTCTGATGGGTACCTATCTCACCTTGGGGAAAGTGAAAGAGGCTGGGCAAAGTAATGACCACATCTTCCCTTTATTTTATATGCCAAGATCAAGAAACATGAACTCTACTTCATCTGTGTTGGAGAAAATCTCATTCAACAATAACAAAGAAGAACCAAATAACAAAAATAAACTTCTCTTTTTCAGATAGGGGCATATAATCATGTTAACAATTATTAGGCCTACATTAATTGAATTTTCCATATATCATTGTACACTATAAGCCATTTTATTACTTCAATGCCATGCACTGAACTATTCAACTTACGTTGTTTAGTTTTCAAAACATAGGCTAAATAAATTTAGAAAAGAACATTTTAACCACCACTCATAGACTACATATTATACATGTTGCCAAAAAATTTTTAAAAAAGAAATCATTATATAGAATGTATGAAATGAACTGACAGAATAAGAAATAAAGTAGAATTCATATTTTGCCAAAGCATTCTATAGTCTGGCAAAGTGTAGACTACGCACCTTCTCTATTAAAATTAAAAATTTCTTAAAACCCTATCCTTAACTGGAGTCCTAATATTCCATTAAGTGAGGGTCATAGTCCAACTCCAGTTATTTTTAGCCATGTGGGGGGGGGGGGTCTGTAATTGACCGGGGCGGGAGGGTAATGTCCTACCCCCAAATATTTTCTACACAATACTATCAGGCATTAACAGGCTTAAAAGTATGCTAAATAAAAAGCCTAGTTTAGTATGAAGTGATAAAATAGCATTTATAAGGCCCATTTTTTTTCCTGAACTTCAGAAGGTGAGAACTTACATTGAATTCTTTTGCTATGGCCCAACGTAGAAGTGACGATTTAAATCTGAGTCTTACAGGATCTCAGTTATCTTTAGCCTCTGCTAGATCTAGCTTGAATCATGCTGGCTCTGTTCACAGTAAACGTGCTAATTCAATGGTGGATATTCGTCCTAAAAAGGTATGTATTAATATATAGCCTATATACATAACTACTATTTTAGAACAAAAATCTTTTTGTGAGAACCATATTTTGTGAGTTGTATTTCAGCTTCTTAGCAAATAGTATAATTGCTTTAAAAAGTAAAGTGATAATTAAAATTTTTGAATAGAGACTTATGAATTAAAACTGCTTCATTAAATAGTATCTTGTTTTAGTTTAGGTCTTAAAATTGTGCATTTATCCATGACTGTAGTCATGAGGGGAAAATCATTATTCATTACTTATTTATTCAACTTAAAGTTTAGATAGGACATACAATAAATCTAATTTATGGGTCATACAACAAATCTAATTTATGAATCTGCATTAAAATTATTGCTTATTGTATTTTAGGTCACAAAGGATGCTAATAATGGTTCAGAAGAGGCTAGAACAAGCAGAAGAGGCTCACTAAAAGGTTGAGATTTTATACACAAAAATATTTTTCCGTGGGCCCCTAAAAAACTAAACAATTTATTCTCTTGATTTATAAGAGAATGTAGAGGAGAAAGAAGAGAGGACCTTTAGCACTATATATGACCATTAGCCTTTGTATATTTGATGGGCATTTAAAATATTCAAGTCTTAATCCTACTGTTTGAACCTTTGCCTCTTAATAACCTGCATTATTTTTTATCACCATGCAATCAGTGTTATGAATTGATTTACTAGGTAATATTTAGATTGCTAGTATGGACATAGATATAATTGATTAATTCATAAAGCAAAAAAAGGAATATTTAAATTAAATGAACCCTGTATGTTTCTATTACATCCATTCTGCAGGTGAATCACCTTTATGCAGTCAAAGAAGTTCTGCCAGTCAATCTTCATCTCAGTTAGCCAGTGGCAACCCCAGCAGAAATGGTGCTCAGTAAGTTTTACTTTGGTGGTACCTACCTACAAAGGGCTTAAATTTACAGATCAAAAAGTTAAAGATAAGCAGCAGTGAAGTTACAGTTATAAATCAGTAACTTCCTGGCTATGAAATGATAGATTTCTGTTGTTTATTTTAAAAAAGTAGTTTTATCTCTCAATAATAGTTGTTCTATTTAGAGGTAAGTGCTTTAACTTTAAGGTGTATCACCTTTAACTTATAATTTCTTACTTGATACAGAGCAGATGAATTCCTAATGTTGTTTGAAAGCTCCACCAACCCTAAGATAAAACAGTCTTTAAATGGCACCAGTACAAAAATGCAGAGATTAAAGACACCAGTGGGCACTAGCAAAACAATAAAAAATGGATTGGTATGTGTCTTGCTGTCTCAATTTTTATCTTAATCTTTTGGATTGTATGGCTAATAATGCTATAACACATTGATTTCTAAAATATCAAAATGCTTTAAATGTAGATTTTGTTTTAATGAAAAAAAAAACATGAAACTGCACGAAGTTTATAAAAATAAATGTAATGTACATATACCCCTTTTAAAAAGGTGTAATAGTTACTTTTAATCTGATTGTTATTTCATCCTATTAGAAAACTAACCCAGTGATTGCCAAGCCTGCTTGGGCTTCAAAACCCACATCAGGAAACACAACAGCAAGATCAGAAGAACCTCATAATATATTCCGTCCAGCTTCAGCGCAGAGCACTGATGAACTTTACACCCCCCATCACATGATGGATGATTTCGGCAATGCCCTGTCCAGTTCCATCAACAAGTTACAGAATCTCCAGAACCAACTGTCTGGTGTGAACCGGCAAGATGGCAACACAAATGGGAACAATTTAGCCCTGGACAGCTTCAGGTCCACAGATACCCTAACACCTGGAGATAGTTCCCCACCTCTTGTCATAAAGAGCTCTGTTGATGATTTTATACAAGATATAATGGATAGAACACCACGCCATGATAAAGACTGGGATGTACTAAACAGCAGTAGATCAATTCAGTCTTCCAAAAGCTCTGGAAGGAGAGCAGAGGGCGTTGAAAATTTTGGGCCTGTTTCTTTGGCTAATAATATAAGTCGGCCGGGGCAGAAACAAAAAGAAAAGGCCACTTTATCGTCCATGGAGAACTCTTACCAAAACATCAAACACAAAACTCCTGTTAATCAGGTTAGGGACAGCACAGAGTCTTCAGGTCAGTCACGTAGCTTACGAAGCGATTCAAAAACATCTCAGCCAAGCAATGTACAGAACAAAACCTTTAAGCATAAGCCTGGATCTAATAAAGACTCTTCTAAAATGCAAAATGTGGAGGATTACATTGGGCTGTTCAATGCTTCTGCTCTAAAAATACAGAAGTGGTACAGAAGACACAAAACCAGACGTGCCGCTGCAGAAGCTGCCATTAGAAGGCTCTTGAGTCAAAAGAAACAGGTAAGTTGTTTTTTTAGCATTTGCCTAATAGTGGTTTTGATAACAATGATTGGCTACCTTTATTGTTTTTGAGTTTCTTGGGTTTAGTCTGTGTAAACTGAATGAATTTAATAATTGTTTGTACTTGTATTTGGCCGATGAATGACTGATTTATGAATTATTTTGGAGTACAATACTACTAAAGTTAACCCTGTTCCTTTTAGTTTTAACCCTTTTAAAAAAAAATTCCATTGCTATTTGGGTGTGGCTATAAAACAAGAAAAGCCTAACTTAAGCAAAATCAATCATTTGGATCTTGTCAAACCTCTGAAAGAAACAACTGTATTCTCTTAGGGTTAGATTTAAAAGTAGGTTTGTGTTAAGTATTTTTAAAAAATGTACCATATGTGGCTCTACATCTTTCACCAACATAGTGTCTTTAAAGTGTAAGGCCTGGCACTAAAATGACATGTTATTGCTCTCATTCTTTGGTTGAGACAACATACATCTCCCATACAAGCTCTAGTTAAAGCTACTCAACTTGATGTATAAAAAACCATGTTTTTAGAAATCTTTCCCTTACTTAATATTAACAGGATCTGGATCAAAAACTCTCCCAGTCAGTATCTGGGACAGAGGAGGAAAAATCTCAAGCTAGATCAAAATTACGTGAAGAGAAAACTAGAGAGGCTAGACAACAAGCTATAAAAGTGAGTTAACTTTATTGATGTAGGTAAAAAAAAAATAGCTCATTTATTTTAAGTTAACGTTAAATAAAGAGATTCTAAGGTCTTCATTCAAAAGACTGGAATACGAACTTGTAATCCCATTTTTAACTAATGAATTATTGGACCATCATATTTTATAATTTTACTATATTTTTTTTTACATTTTTTTTAATTCAGGATCTGAAGAAGAAGAGAGAAGAGCACAAATTGGAAGTCAAACAGTTAGCTGAAGATAGCATTAGGTTTCTACAAGCTACAGGTAAAATTACCAAAGGTCCATCAAAAGGCCCCCTGAGTAAGAAAAAGAAAATGCCCCAAGAAACTGAGCACAAAGATGGAGAGTCATCAAGAGACTTGGCTGGCCAGAATGCAACTGTTTTATCTCCACGCTCTGATGGTCAGGTGAGTGAGGGGCTTGTTGGGATACTGTGTTTATTTTGTTGGCTCACCGTGAGGCAAGATGACTTAGTTTTATCACTACATTGATTGTTAACAAATATACATAAATAGACATATATAGATATATATCTATATTTAAAGTAGCACACCAGATGAGTTTGTGTTTTCACAGTTTTGATTGGTAGGTTGCCTAATGTCTAAAAAATATCACTTATATGCATGATGTTTAAATGTAAGTTAAAGAGCCCTTACAGTCTTGGGGGTCCCTAGGGCAAATGAAGTAGAGCTGTCTCATTTTGTTATCTTGACATTAGAAAGAATTGTATGGTCAGCACTAAGCCGGCCCCATTAATTTGACCAAATGTGTCAGGTACTAACTAAATCTAGTTTAAGTCAGGGACATCCTACAGTCTCACAGTGGTACCTAAGACTTTTTGGGCATCTTTTGAAGTCCAGGCATCTCAGACTACTGCTATAAATGTGTGTTGAAATTCTCCTGAGGGTTACCATTAAAATATTTGTCTCCACCTCCAGAGTTCTGCTGTTGTTAAAGATGAGACTGAAACAGAGGGAGCCTTTGGTGGCACAGATGTTAACACCAACACACGCACCACACTGGAAGACCTGTACAGCACACTGAAGAAACTGGAAGAGGAAGAAAACTTCCTCACTGCTCGCTCAGAAAAAAGTCCATCTTGGTGTAGGTGGCTTTTCATTCGTGGTTCTTATACTTTTAGGATTTTCAGGCCTCTTTTTGGGAGTGGTTATTGGTTTGTGATTGGGTAAAGGTAGAGACAAGGTTTTTAGGACATGAGTAGTGATATGAAAAAAATCCTCAGTCACACCTAGTTGGCAGGTTCATAAGTACCTACTGTTTTATAACAATACATAATGGTGCATTGTAAAAACTGAATAAATTGATTGCGCGTTTATAACAAGCAAATGTTGCATCTTTCTGTCAATTCTCTAGTTTAATTTTCACAACCACTTGTTTTGATTCAGTATTAATTCTGGTCGTGTAAATGTATGAATTTATGCTGTCCAGTAAATCTTTATAAACATCGGCTCACTTACTTATTGTATTGTAAAAATAATGGCTTCATGTTTTTTACACTTTCTCATGTAGTGCATGAATTGGAGAAAAGTCAAGAAGGGGAACTTGAATCAAACTTGACAGCTGAAAATTTGCAGAAACTCAATTCTAGGAAAGATGGGCTTTCAAAAAGTGGCTTTCTCACTGATGACAAACTTAAAAGTATTATAGACTTCCTTGATGAAGTACAAGTCACTGACAGATTAAGTGAAATAGATACAGTAAGTGTTTGTTGTAATATCAGTTATCACAGATTTTAATTGTCTTATTTTAAAGTTGATCAGTGGATTGAAATAGTTAACCAATGAATTGAAATAGTTGATCAATGGATTGAAATTGTTAATCAATGGATTTAGATAGTTGATCAATGGTTTGAAATAGTTGATCAATGGATTAAAATTGTTGATCAATGGATTGAGATAGTTGATCAATGGATTGAATAGTTTATAGGAAAATATGAGGGTGAATGAGCCAGATTTAAAAAGGTTTTAAATTTTCAATGACTTATAATTTAAACTATTAAAAATTTTAATACATTTTATTATACTGTAATAATAATATTTTTAAAAAAAGTTTTATTTTCAATGAGGATTTAGAATAGTCAGCCTGTTGATGCCAAGTATTTGTTCTTACAACTTACATAAATTATCCTGAATTAGTGAATTGAAATGTAAAACCTATTGAATTGCAATGTAATTACAAAACTGTGGATGAGCAGGAAATCAGCCGGCTGAATGAGGACTTAGAAAAGCCAGCCCTACTGGTGCCCTCAGCCTCAGAGATTGCCCAGATTGAGCAAGCCCAGGCTACAGCTTCTGAGGTCACCAGCACTGTCCTGTCTCAGAGGTTGGAACTGGATGAGAAGAAGAGAACTGTTTCTATGCTGCAGAAAGCTTTGGTAAAGTTACTTTACCCTTGTCTAAACAAAGTTTTTGTTAGGTAATGGGAGACATGAAGGAAGGGCTGGGACAGAGAAAAAAAAGACGGAAGGCTATTTCAGTGTCCTAAGAAATAAGTCCCAATGTGAAGTTTTATTTTCTGATCCTTTCTAGTTTAAAGCACTGTCTTTACAGTGTCTATTTCTATCTCATTTGGGCAGACACAATTGCATGTCTATAATGTTAATAGGTTTTATTAATTTGACAAAATTATTTATACAACAATCACATCTGTATTTCAAGAATCAAGAATGAATAACTATTATTGAGATGTTTACTACTGAGTGGCTATGTTGAGATGGATGTTGTCATGTTTACTGTGGGTGTGGGTGGTATTGTTGTGGAGAGAGATTATGATAGATTATCTTTAATCATAGAACCAGCAACGAGAGCTTACTGTCAGGCATGCCCGAGAGACAGAAAAGGAAATGAAAAAGAGGCTGGATATTCAGAAAGAAGAGTATGAAGAGGCTATTAGAAGACATTTGTCATTTATTGATCAGGTATTTCTTTATATACTAGTATACATTAATCCCTTCCATAAAATTTGTATAATACAGAGGTCCATCATTATCTTTGTAGTTTCCTTAAGACTTTCTCCACACTGTTGTTTCTTCTAATTCCAACTGTAATAACACCATAACTAAAGATTCCTTTTACACCACTGTGTGCAGCTGATAGATGATAAGAAAAACATGGGAGAGAAATGTGAAAAACTTCTGACAGAACTCAAGACTGTTGACAAAAAATATCAGGACAAAATCAAATCTCTTGAATCAAAGTAAGTTCATTTTTTTTTAATTTGTGAAAATATTGGTGTATCTAAGAAGAAGTAAAGTATTGAAGAAGAGCTTAGATAAAGAATATTTTAATTCTTATATAGCGACAACTGAACAAGCCAGTATTAGGTATAGTTCATATTCATCTGTATAATACACATTATCAATTGGCTCTTTCCCCAAAATATTTCTTTCATTAATGTATACAGTAGACAAGTTAGTAAGTTGGTGCTTAAATAATTTGTTATTTCACAGTCATGCTATTGAGATGACCAAGCTCAAGGAAGTGCATGCTGCAGCAGAGAAGCTGAGGAGAGAAAAATGGATTGAAGACAAAACTAAAAAAATAAAGGTAAGAAAATATCATTGGTGTCAAGACAATGTATGAAAGGGTGTCCTCATCTTTTTATAAAATTATCTTTGAATTCTTAAGTTTAAATTTCATATTTAACTGTTCTCATATTTTGAGTTATTTTTTTCAAATCTGCTAGGAAATGACAGTGAAAGGTCTAGAACCAGAGATCCAGCGCCTGATAGCCAAACACAAAAGTGATCTGAAGAAAATCAAGCAAATCCACGAGGCTGAGTTGTTGGAGTCTGATGAGAGAGCAGCACAGAAGTATGTTAAAATGACAGAGGAACTGAGGGACCAGCTGGCAGCTGAGAAAGAGGCAGCTATCGCCAGGGAAAGGGAATCTGCTAAACTAAGGTACTACTTTCATTTTGAATAATTAACCTGTTTAAAAATTGAACAAATAACATTTTCTACTACTATTTTTGCTTTAATAATATCAACCCAAATTCGTTTTTGATGTGACAAATTATTGTCACTATCAACACTAAATTTCTTATAAATAAATATTCAGGGTTATTTGAGGTTTTTAAATGGCAAAAAGTATTGCCATTAACAGTAAGTCTAGAGTTCAAATCCTGGTCCATATAACGTTCCTAGGTTCAACGAGCTCTGATGGCTACATAACTCACGTAGGGAAAGTAAAGGTGGCTGGGCATTGTGCTGACCCATACTATCTCTTCATATGATGAGCTCACAGAAACAGGTGAACTCTACTTCACTTGCCCCTTGGACCTTCAGGTTCAAAAAGGGAACTTAAATTTAAGCTGCCATCATGTTTAGTGGAACAACAGTTGATTGCTATCCTTGACATGTGATGTGGGATAATTTCAAAAACAGAATCCTAACTACAGCTATAGCTAACTTTGTCTATCCAACAAGAAAATTAAACAACTTCTTTAGAACAACTCAGTCTGTTCTTGGAGTTTAGAATAGTGTATTTTAACCTCCCAAATTTTTAAGACAATTAAAAAAATGAAATTTGCAGGTATGAGAAACAAATGCAGCATGAAGAAGAAGCTTACCAGCAAAAACAGAGGCGTCTGTACCAGGAGGTTCAGGAAGAAAAGGAGCGCCTGGCCACCACGTCGTCACGTCAAAGAGCTGAGCTTGAGAAACTACAACGGCAGCTGGAAGATAATCATCGGCATGCTCTTGAAGCAATGAAAGAGGAGTTTGATAAGACTAGAGATGAACAGGAAAAGCGACATAAGGTTAATTAATGGGAGCTTTTACTTTATTAGAATTAAAACCATGTTAGTGTTTCAAATTTTTTTATTCTTATTGAAGAGTAAAGTGCCAGAAAAACAATAGACTATTTATTGTGGGATTTTTTTTTTGCCTGTCTTTTTGTTAGTTCAGAAAAGTGTTTCAGTTGTAGTTAAAATATTGATAAATCAGTTTTTTTAATATGTTAATGACAGTAGTTTATATTTTTGATGGATTTAATACAAAGTTTTTACTTTTTATATTGACAGGCAGAGATAAAAATGCTGCAGGAGAAGTTGAAGGTTGAGAAAGAGTCTTGGGAAGAAAATTATATGAAGCGCCATGAGACATGGCTGGTACAGAAGGAGAGGGAATTGAGGGACCAGGTAATGTGGGATAGATAAGTTTACACACCTGTTGTGTGTAGTTTTATTCCTTGGTCAGTTGGGACCAGGTAACATGGGATAGATAAGTTTACACACCTGTTGAGTGTAGTGTAGTTTTAGTCCTTGGTCAGTTGGGACCAGGTAACATGGGATAGATAAGTTTACACACCTGTTGAGTGTAGCGTAGTTTTAGTCCTTTGTCAGTTGGTAATATATTCCCTAAAATATTGTTTTAGATGGTCTGTAATATTCTTTGTAGATTTTTTTTTTCAAATGTATAGATCTAGTTGTTTTATTTTTTGGTTAAATTTTATTTTTACCTAAAATATTGTTTTACCATTTTTGATATTGTTAAGGCATGTTATTTATTGTGTTTATTTTTTATTTCTTGGTTAGTTGAGTAAAAAAATGTTTTAAAATATTTTAGATAAAGAAGGAAAGAGACAAGGAGATTGAGTTGGTTATTGAAAGGCTAGAAGAAGATGCATCAACAACTAGAGAAGAAAATGAAAGAACTACAGAACAAAAGATCAGGTAGTAAAATTAATGACCTTCATTAAATAATTTTTGTTTCATTTTAGCTCAAACATGATCTGAGTTGACATTTTTAACCTTGTCTGTTAAAGTGTCAAACTTTTCTATTCAGGAGGATCAGAGAGAAATTTGAAACTGAGACAAGAGAGCTGGAGCAGTCAGAAAGGAAAGCTGTTCAGAGATACAATGAGATCAAGGTCAGTCTGTAGTTTGACCTCAGGTCAGTTTGATAGCAGGGCTTTTGATGAGGCTGTTAAAAGTGTTGCTTAACTAGCAATATCTACACATAGTCACTTGCGAAGTTTTAGACACATTTATACCTTAGTTACTTATTGTATTAGTAACTCCTCTCCAGAAGTCAGATTCATTAGAGGTAGTAAGCATTTGACCTTTTAAATAAAATGTGTATCATTCTGTTGCAGGCTAAAATGACAGAAGTTGAAGGAGAAAATGAAAGGCTTAAAGTTATTATCAAGCAAAAGGAACAGGAAATATTTGATAACAAAAAAGTAAGTATGAATATTGTTTTGCTCATCTATAATAAAGTTTTGTCATGTATTCAATTTTAAATGTGAAAACAAAAAGAAATGGTTAGCTATTTAATTTTTCAGTGTAATTTGTTCTTCTCGACATCTCTTATCTTCTCAATAAATAGGACTACATTTAATTTGTGATAATGCTGCATGGAAAATATTCATATTTATAATTTAAAAAATTTTTAATACACCACTTCTAGAAAGCCACCCCCTTCATTTTTAAACAAAACCTTGAACTGGGAAACAATTTATGGTCCTCAGATTTTGTGATTATGCATACAGCTGCACATGACGACACTAATCTTTCTTTATTCAATCTCAGCTACTGGAGAAAATGCATTCTGAGCGCAGCCATGTCTCTGACATAATTCGTCAAGAGTTTGCAGATAGAATTGTGGCTACAGATGAAGAAAACAAACGTATAAAGCATGAGATTTCAGAGCTGAGAGCTAGGCACCGTATTGAGTTGGAAAAGGCACAGAGAGATATGGAGGAGTTAAGAAAAACTAAGGATGAAGAGATGGAAGAGGTCCACAAGAGGTATTTTTATTTTTGTTAAACTTGGCTAATATTAGTTTCTCATACCTATATTTTTATTTTTGTTAAACTTGGCTAATATTAGTTTCTCATACCTACATTCTCTTGATTTTTCTGTACTAATGTAATAGAAACAGTGCATGTTTGTAAAATATGGTGGCTCATATGCTTACATTGTTGAATTAAATAGAAAAGTTCTTCCAGTAATCACTGTTAACGTTATATTTATTTTTTGTCACTGGTCAAAACTGCTGATAAATTAAACCATTAGTTTTTTTTTTTTAACTCTTTACTCTTAGTTTTTTAGATTATGTTAGATGTGTTTTGAGGTACATGGAAATGTTCTTTTGTTACAGAGTGAAGCAAGCAATAGTTAAAAAGGAAGAGGTTGTGAATCAGCTGAAGCAGCAGTACCAAGCAGCCAATAAAAGAGCAGATCACTTGGAAGGTTTACTAGAGCAACAACGCAAGCAGCTGTTAAATCATAAATAATTTAATTATTTTTAACTTTTAATGAACGGTAATGATTTGCTACATAAGCATTTCCACTTATTTATTCCATGCCAAGTTTTTTAATTAGCATTATTTTGAAGAGAGAAAAAAACCTGTTAAATCATTATGGGTTAGAGAAAGTTTACAATCCATGACAGAGAAAGGAGTTTGTGTGGTGCAGCACTTATGGCCAGTACAATGTCACCATCTGCCTCCCAACTAAAACAAGTTATCTATCGAAACTCGATAGAGAAACCCGATAGATTATGTTGACGGTGGTCATCACTTAACACTTAAGTTAGAGGAAAAGTACATTCTAACCATTGGATAACCTGTTTTCCAGCCCAGTAAGAAAACTTTAAAAAATAATGTGTTATTAATTAGTTAAGATGGTTGCTTAACTTCTTAGGCCACCATACTGAACGATTGTTTTTGAGCTTAGAATTTCATACACCCCTCCCCTGTGAGCACCTTTTAGCTTCCATTTTTGCCAGAATAACATACCAAGTATTGGTTTAGTTGCATTTACTTTGTTGCTTAAGTTTTTTTTTAATCTTTTTTTTAAAACCTATATTTAATACTAAAATCTGAAGTATTTCATGTATTTATTTTGGTATAGCAAGACCAATACCAAAAATATATTTAAATTTTTTTTTAAATGTTTTTTTTTTTAATTTTTAAAAATCTTTTAGGATTTATGACAAATTGAATGTAACTGTTAATGAATTAAGACCAAACAGTTGTTTTTTAACCTTACTGAAGACTCATTTCATTTATCAAGTTGAATGCTTGGGCTTTTGTTTTAAATTTTGTATTTTTTAATGTAAATGCAATTTCATGTCTATGTGCTACGGCTTAAAGTATTATTTACATTCTTTGTTTATGAAACTCGAGTCTTTAAAAAACCCACTGTTGTGGTTAGTGTTACTGAGATTGTTGCCTATGAAAACAATAGAACTATGAAACTGGTACAACCTGGGTCCATTGTAATAATTGTATCTGACCAGTTATCTGGTTTACATTTTAGATCCAACAGAATATTTTTCTGTGATACACATTCATTGTTTATGAACTGGCTGTAGAATAGCACATACTGCATTAGTATGCATGTATATATTCACATTTGCTTTATAGAAAGGTTCGTGAGATAATGTAATTTAATGATTATTTATTGGTGCACTCTGCCACCTGGAGACATATCAGTTTCTTCCTTAATTCCTGTGATTGAATAGCTCTATAAAAACAATATTTAATTTTTTTAATTGTGTTATTACAATTTGCAATCATGCCTCTTAATTTATGTTTGTGAATAGTTTTTTCTACAAGTCTGTTATTTATTTTTAACCAACAGATTAGTAGAGCGCTTTTATACCATGCACCAACATCTTTTTTATACAATGGAAAATTTTATAAAGAATATTTGTATTACACTACTTCTGTCTCAGAAATGTAAATTTCCAGCTACTTAACTTTAAAAGCTTTGTGCTATTTATAAACTGAACCTCAATAAATAACTATATTAACCTAAACATGTGATCTTAATTTTGTTCATTATCAGTGTCAGAAGATTAGCCATATTCTTAGCCTAGACTGCTGCAGATGGAATGAAAAAGATGGCAACACGAGCAAAGTTTAAAGATTTATTGACCATAAATTATTCATAATATACATACACAGAGGAATGATTTAAAACATCTGTTGGAGCAGTATTAAAATAAAATGGCAGTTGTTAAAAATGACTTTATTAAAACAAAAAATAAAGGTTTTAATACCATATTCCGATTCAACAATAATGAAATTTCTTTGACAGCTTAAATATTGACTGGAAAAATGAAAATTGGCACTGTTGTATATAATTTTATAGGAAAATACATATTTTTAAAGTTTTTCTTCTAAGTATATTAATTTTCCTTTGTTGAAATCCGCAAAATGTCATAAAGACCGTAACTGACGCTCAAATGTAAATTATTATTGCAGTATATTCAAAAATTGAAACAGTAAATTATTGTATCTCAAAGTCTTCATCAAAGTTTAATCAGTTATCACAGGAACCAAAAATAAAATCCCACTGGATTATTTTTAAAAAAAAAAGATCACTTAACATACAACCCAATATCTCACAAAAGGTGAAATTAAAATGAACACTCATCTACACAATATACATCACACTTATACCATACAACATGAATAAGTGCTTGTTAGCTAATACAAGAGTTCACATCAACAGTGGTCACATGACAACACAAATGTGATCAACCAATTGGATGTTATAATTCTACAATGAATGTTGCTCTAGCTACACCATACTACATTTCCCCACAGATTCACATAAAAATGTATTTCATTAGACATTTCAAACCTTCTAACAGCAACCCTTATGTACATCAACTGCTATCAATCTACTTGATCCATTGGTAAACAATTATGGAAAAAAAATATACTTTTTTTTAAAACTTCTATTTATTTTGAGGGTATGAACATGAAGTATAATACTTTAAAGTGCAGAAATAATTTGTTCACTTATGAATTCTTTTTAGCACAACCATAGTCAAAAGAAAGCATTTATTAAACAGTAGTTACGGACATCTGCTTTGGATCAGGACACCTGCATACTATTTAACGAGAAAAATGGCCCGTTGAGGAAGGATACACCGGGCGCTAGGTTGATAGTGCTGTCTCTTTTCTCTAAACTAAAACCAACCCACCCCCCACACACCACCCCCACCCCACCCCCCACCCCCCACCCCCACCCCCACACACACCACCCCCCTCCACACACCGCCCCCCACCCCTCCACCCCCCCCCCCCTCTCCACCCCCACCCCCCAAAAAAAACATGTCTACCGTCCAATTCAACGAAATATAATTATATACTTTTTCCAGTGTCCGCCCCCTCCCAGAAAATTCTACCCCCGCCCCCGAAAATTTCAATTACCCCCACCCCTCTCCGGGGAGGAAAAACTCTGAAAGAAACACTGAAACCAACCCACCCCCACCCCCACACCCCCCACCCCCCACACACACACCACCACCCCCCCCACCCCTCCACACCCCCCCCCCCCAAAAAAAAACATGTCTACCGTCCCATTCAACGAAATATAATTATATACTTTTTCCAGTGTCCGCCCCCTCCCAGAAAATTCTACCCCCGCCCCCGAAAATTTCAAGTACCCCCACCCCTCTCCGGGGAGGAAAAAGTCTGAAAGAAACACTGAAACCAACCCCCCCCACCCCCCCCCCCCCCCCCACACACACCACCCCCCCCCCCGCCCCTCCACCCCCCCACACACACCACCCCCCCCCCCCCCACCCCTCCACCCCCCCCCCCCCCCCCCAAAAAAAAAAAACAACATGTCTACCGTCCCATTGCAAGAAAACCACTTTTAAGATTAGACACATTAATTAGGCGGTAATTTTATTATAGAGTATCGATGAGGAAATTTCTTTTGAGTTGGGGAGGGGGGGGGGGGGCTCAGACGTTCTTACGCGGGGGTGGGGCTTCGCCCCTACCCGAAGAATTGTATGAAAGAAACTCTTCACGCAAACCACTTAGATTAGACCAAATTGCCTTTGTATTGAATATCGATAATCAATGACGTCATATCAATGTGTGCACTATCCGGCTTGAGATTATTTTCTACTCTGTGCGCTAAATGTGTCGACGTCATACTTCGTTTTTCGAATTACTATGCATGTTTTTATTTTCCTTGTGTTTTCTCTAGAGCGTTCTTGTCAGACAGATAGATAGATAGATAGATAGATAGATAGATAGACAGACAGCGAAACTATTATTATAGATATGCAATAAATAAGAATTTATGACTTACAAGAAATAAAAATAGACAAGACAATCAATGGATGATTGATCAGTGGAGATAACTCATGAAACATCCAGTGATCAATTGACTAGAATGTTTCGCATGCTTTAAGATGAAATGCTGAAATTTTCAAAAAAGAAAATGTAATTAATAAATACAGATATTAGGAGAATCTCTGAATTGCTTGTTTTTAAATGGTAGAAAAATTAAATCCCATTATATAATCAGAAATAATTAACAAGAAAACGAAGTTCCAATATACTCAGAGATCATTAACAAGCTTTTAAAAATCATTAAGTAAAAACAAATATTGTAAAGAAATATTTGAATTTGAAAAAACATATTTACCCATTAATTATTATACACGTTGAATTTCAAATAGTTTAACATTTGTATCATACCAAATTGGAGGGTCCACATTTCTGAGGAGAAAACAAAGAAAAAATAGTTAATTTTAATTGTAGCTTTAAAAAATGTATACTTTAGGCCTTTATCTTATAGTGTTAAAACATCAATTATTGTAGAAAACCAATATAAAAAGCAATTAACCAGACAGGTCTAACTCTATTTAGTGCTCGTTTAAATTGAAATTGTCTCACCTTAAGTAAATCACACCCCACAGATAAGTACGAAACCACATAGTGGTTCCGCTGTTAGCCTGATATTTTCTGATTAAAATTGGGTGTGGAACTGGCAACAGGCCAACTAATGTACCATGTTGGAGGAACTTCAAGATTTCTGTCTCATCTGTCAAACCTCTAAAAATTACATTAAAAAAATTACTAAACATTTTCCTTAAGTTAGAAATGTTATGTACAAAAGTACACTGATTTTTGACAGGCTTTTTAATTTATTTTAATGGTCTACCTTTTATTTTAAAATTTAGTCTACAATACTTAAGAGTTTTTAGATTGACTTACTTATCAATACAGATCTTTTCTACTTGTGGCACCAAAACCTGTAGCATTCTCATAATGGTCTGCAGTGGTAACTTTTGCTTCCATGATTGTACCTGTAAAAATATTCAAACATTGGTTTCACAATCGGTAGGTCTTATTCAAAATAAAACACTGCCAGTTAATAAAATTTAGCATAAACCTTTCTGAGGATATAGATGTACCATCAACAATGGCAGTAAATAATATATAGCAAAAAAATGTTTAAAATAATGGAGAATTACCCATTCAGGGGAGGCGACCCACTGCCCTGCAGTACTGGCTGTTTTTGCTAGTGGAGGACGACCAGATTCTGATGGTGTTGGACTTGTTGCTGGTGGTGATTGAGATGTCTAGACAGAAGAATTAGCAAAAATTGATGTCTAAACAGATGAATGGCAAAAATTGATGTCTGGACAGATGAAATGGCAAAAATTGATGTCTGGACAGATGAAATGGCAAAAATTGATGTCTGGACAGGTGAAATGGCAAAAATTGGATGTGCCTAACAGATGAACAGGGCTAAAAATAATTTGATGTCTAGACAGATGAATGGTGCAAAAATTGTCTAGATAGATGAATAAGGCATTGGCTAGACAGATGAATGGGGCAAAAACCTTCCCACAAGTATACAAACAAGTCAGCATCTGATATTGGGAAGCTAGCAGCATTTACTGAAGCAATTTTCATACATTTTTGTAGAAGCAATAAACTACTGGCTTAACATACCCTATCATATCAACACAAACTGCTGATCTGTTTTATGTTTTAGCTGGGCCAATATTTCCACAACTCACCACACTATTGCTCTTCTCCAACTTTTTAATTGGTTTCTCTGAAGCTTGGCTGGTGTCTGTGTCACCCACAGGATCCTGAATCTCATTGACTGGTTGTACAGACTCCGCCAACTCCTTCAGTGTTGGCTGGTGGTGGTTCTCATCAGGGGCAGCTCTCTCTGTCATTTTGTCAATTCCTGCAGCACAGACATCAAGGGCTTTTAGCACGTAACATTTTCATTACAGAAGTGGCAGTTTTTTAACACACACAACAAAAATATTTCAATAATTTGACTAGAAGAAATGATCCCTGTCATTATGTCCATAAACAGTTCTTAAACCCACAAGTTGGGAGCAGTAGTCTAGCTGTAATACTTTGAATTGCAGAATCTTTTTTTTTCAAACAGTTATCAATTATATGCTTATCTCTAGCACCTGTTGGGGACGGAGTAGTCTAGCGGTAGAGAGCTGGACTGCTAACCCATAAGCCTCGAGTTCAAATCCGTGTTCAGTAGACTGTCCCTGAGTCCACCCAACTCTGATGGGTACCTAACTCACGTAAGGGAAAGTAATGGCGGCTGGGCATAGTGCTGACCACACTATCTCTTCATATGCTGAGGTCACAGAAACAAATGAACACTTCTTCACTTGCCCCATAGACCATCAGGTTTGAAAGGGAAACTACTTACTAGCACCTGTTACTTCATTACAAGTCCACCCAGCTCTGATGGGTACCTGACTCACGTTAGGGAAACTAAGTCGCTGGGCATAGTGTTGACCACACTATCTCTAAATATGCCGTGATCATTGAAACTTTACTTTACTAAAAAGATCAGCTGTATGCTTTTGAACCAGGTTTTACTTTTTTAGGCAGATATAAATTTTGGATTTGGTGATACATGGATGAACATGTTTATTAAAATAAAATGCAAAGCAAACACTTTGAACTGACTTGGAGTGGCTGCTAAAGAAACCTTGAGAGTCCCTGGTTCTGCCTCCAGTGCTGGCTGTGCCCCCTCCATGGTCTGGGGATCCCTTGTATCTTGAGGGGGTGCGGCAAACTTCTTGCCCCTTTTTGTCATGGCTTTGGCTATGGCTGAATGATCTATCGGCAAGTTGGCCAGCTGGTGGAACACATTCCTCTTGCGAATAATGGTGTACACAAGGTTAGCATTGCCTGGGGATATAGGTTAGTGCAATTTACAATCAACATTGACAAAAGAGATTATTTTACTGAAATGTGATAAATACAAAAACTAGACTTAGTGTATATTTGTTCCGAGGGGAGTTGAGCATGATGACATGCATTATTTTTGTACACTTATTTTCACATTGAAAATTGATAAGTATATAAACTAGATATTATGTATATTTACTAAAAGGAGTGTTAAACATGCAAATGTATCTAAAGGAGTGCTACTAAACAGAGATGGATTGAACAGGTAAATAGCACTTACCATCAAACTGATACTGAATAATGTTGTTGAAGACTTCCAGCAGAAAGAAGACCAGATGATGATTAGTGGCGCTGGCATACAAGAACCAGGGGGTGCTGAAAGCCTGGGTGGGAGTGGATAAAATTTAAAATACTGCAGGTCTAATGAGCACTTAGATCTAATGAACAGATTAACTCTAATTCTTTCCACTAAGTAGTGTCAGGTCTTATACTCTCCTAACCAACACACAAATGTATAACCCAGCCAGTAGAAAAAAGTTTGCTTACCTCTAGCAAATGGAGGAGTTTAGTACTGGCAACCATTGAAAGAGTTTTTAGATAAGGTGAGACTGTAAAAAAAAGTGTAAACATTCCGTTAATTTTCAAACAGCATAAGTTTGTAGAAACAACTTTTATCAAGATGTGCACTTTAAATTTTAATAGTTTTTTTTTGGAGAATAACAGCAAAAAGCTTTGTAATATCACTTAACCAGCTATTTATTTCTTTTATTTTTTTTTTGAAAATCTCTTAGAATAAAATTTTAAATGTATCAAAAGTGTGGAAACTACAATAGTTTGTTTTGAAAGTACAAGTCTGTTGATGCCTTACCATTGACTATAATAGTTAGCAGACAGTCAAATAGAGGCTGTAAACGTTGATGACCTGTGGTAATGATTTTGTGAAACACCTGAAATATAAACCAGTGGTAATTTAGTAACAGTTTCCAATTCACCCAAGGCTGATAGTTTTTAATTAATTATCTGATCCTACTGAGTTATACTGCTTTGTCTCTGTAATTATAATTTCTGTGCATTTGTCTAGTGGAAACTATGAAATAACATCGGGTATTAGTGTTGTTAGTCAAACACAACATTATGACTTACAATGATCAAAAAATCTGCATGAGTTCCTGTGAAGACTGGGATATCCATTGGTACACGAACAGAGTAGGGTTTGTTGAGACGAACACCAAAGTTTCTTTCCCCACTCAGTAAGAGGAGGATGAACACACCAATATGCATTAGACCAACTCTGGCTGTGGGACCAAACAAAAAGTTCACACTATAAACTCCAACTTGTTCAATTTTTATTTATTTGTCTGCAGCTTGCACCTTTCATATCACTATATGCCTGGTTCTATTAGGGCAGATTTTTTAAGTGAACAGGGTAAAAATATGGACAGTGCAAAAAATAACACATCTCAGACGTACTAGTTGTTATTTTTATCAAATTTCATTCTTTTTTTTTTTGTTAGGCAGGGCCTATTTATTACTAGAGCTCTCATCAGACATCTTCCAACCTAAGGGTTGATTATGACATAGAGCCAAATAGTGAACTTTACAAAACCAAACTAACATATTTTTCTAGACTTTGTGTAGGTTACAAAAAAGTGATAAAGAATAAAACTTACACTGGTCAGCCCTGGCATCGTTTAGGTTGTAGAGAATTGGTACCAAGATGTCCAGGACGTCACTACTTTTTAAAACAAAGAACATGAATTTCTGAGGAGAAAATAAAACAGTCACTTCAAGTATGCTATACATAAAAATAAATTTCAAAGTAAAAACAAAATCAAATTCTTCTTCATATAACAAGTCTGAAAGCTATTATTCAGTATTATTTAACTGTAATGTATTAAATAGCTCTTCAAAAAAATTTACAATTAAAATAATGAGAACAAGCCAACTCTGTTTAAATGTTATTAAACTAAAAACAAAAGTGTAGTGTGTAGAATAAAGTAATAGTATCAAATCCCCCTGAACATAACAAATATTACAAGCTACACTACAAAAGCATGTCCTACTTTGTTGATATCACACATCTTCCAAAACAGGACCAGCAACTCCTGATAGAACTGTATCCTTTTACAGGATCCTGGCAGGTAGGTCTGCTGGAGTGGGTTGTTGAGTAAACGAGTAATGCCTTTTAAAATAAAGGCGAAATCCTACGGGGTAGAAAAATCCAATTAGTGACCTTCACACAAATGCCTACATATTATCAACAACAAAAAATATAGACAAAACCCTAATCAAATAAAAAAATACTTTCTTTTAGCTAAGTCCACCTACCTATGATTTATTACAATAAAAATGCTGTTTTCTCCATCTATTTTAATATATAATTCATTTCCAAGGAATTTATTTCCCATATACACAGTGTACCCCTCTGGTAATCTGTGCTGACAAAAAACAACTTACCTCTTCCCTATGTATCCTGGAAAGGTAATTCAAAAATAAATTGTCTGATCCACCACCCTGAAACACATACATTAAAAATAAAAATATGAATCATTTTACAGATGTTAGATCAAAATCTTTTTTAAAAATAATTCTACACTACCTGTTCTGTAGAAATAGGCTAATAGGCTTATTATTAGCAGCAAACAAGAAAAATAACTATTTAAGAAGTTGATAATGATTTTAGCATGTCTGTTAACATGTAATAGATGATAGATGTTACACATGTTACATAGATGACACATGTTACACTTTCTGATCCCCAATGACCTTACCTCACCAGTCTGATCCATAGCTGTCCCCCCACTTGTCCCATCCACAGACACAGGGTGGGCATTGGAATCATTCTCCATGGTCACACACAGCACTTGCAGTGCCACCTCGACAAGAGGCTCACGGGAGTCAGTAAACATGAGATGGTTGTAGGGTACACCATAGCCCACAGGGTCGTAGGAGCACAAGCAGTTTACTAGTGAAGTAAACAAGGGAAGCGCATGTCTGGGGAAAAAATTAATGGCATATACATATGGCATGTCTTTTTTTAATGTGCATGACAGATGAATAGCATATACTTATGTCTTTTTTTAATGTGCATGACAGATGAATAGCATATACTTATATCAAGTCTTTTTATTAATGTGCATGACAGATGAATAGCATATACTTAAGGCTAGTTTAATGTGCATGACAGATGAATAGCATATACTTATATCAAGTCTTTTTTTAATATGCATGACAGATAAATAGCATATACTTATGGCAAGTCTTTTTTTAATATGCATGACAGATAAATAGCATATACTTATGGCAAGTCTTTTTTTAATATGCATGACAGATGAATAGCATATACTTATGGTAAGTCTTTTTTTAATATGCATGACAGATAAATAGCATATACTTATGGCAAGTCTTTTTTTAATATGCATGACAGATGAATAGCATATACTTATGGTAAGTTTAATGTGCATGACAGATAAATAGCATATACTTATGGCAAGTCTTTTTTTAATGTGCATGACAGATAAAGAAAATTAGTTCAAGTCTAAGGAATGGGAATCATTGTTAGGATAAAAATTGTAACAATACAGAATACAAACAAAAATCTGGTTATAATACTACTGCCTATTAAATAAAATTGTTGAGGCATTTGGTTTAAAATATTACATATGTGCAAAAATGATTGGCCAGTCATTTAATGTATGGTTGTGATTTTTACCTATTCTCAGTTGATGTGAAGAACTGGATCCACTGGTTAGGTGTCACATGGGCATCAGCTGAGAGAAAATTTTGTTTTTATAAAGATGGGAATAACTGTTACAAAACAGGTTATGTGTAACTACAAGAGTTTTAACAAAATCTACAAGAGAATGAAAGGGGAAAACTATATGGTACTGAACAGGTTATGTGTAAATACCAGAGTTTTAACAAAATCTACAAGAGAATGAAAGTGCAAGGAGCTGTTGGCGCCACCTACCCACTGGTGGAAGGTACATGGTCTCTGAGAAACAGGTCAACAAAAGCTTCAGAAGCTCCATCCTGTTTTGGTCATGGAATGAGTTGTGTGGTGGAGAGTGTGCGAATCCTACACCTGCTTCCCAAATGTATTCACAACTGTCGATTGTTCCCATGTCTTCTGGATTATCCTAAGGAGCATAAAAAAAGCATAAATAGCACAACTCAGGAAATAAATAATCTTTTTTAATTAATTTTTTAATCTACTTTCAGTTATATCTATTAAGCGCAACTTTTTTTCACAAAAATAATTTTCATGTTGAAAACTGTTCTGTAAATACATGCAAAGTAAAAAAAAAAGAAGTACCAGCATGCAATTCTATTAGGGAAATTGAAAAAGTTTAACTCACTGGTCCAGATTTCCTTGTTGTGGCTACAGTAAACTCAGGGCAGAATAATAAATCCTGATAAAAAAATTCAATGGATTTTTTAAAAATATACTTCTTATAATTTATAGTTTGGTTCATGTATTCATTGTTAATTACTATTTTACATTTAAATTGTCTCAATGAATAGATTTAGTAAATACTATACTCTCAATATGACTCAATTTTACTTACACATGTTGCAGCTATCAGTGACTGGGCTAGTGGAGGACTGTCACCCTAATTAAAAAAATAAAGGCTAAATAAAAGTTTCGGATGAATTATACTTTGCTAAGTGATCGTTTTTAAATTACCAATAGACTTATACAATAAATGACAGTCATTTCTGTTAAATTACAGGCAGACCTTTCACATTGTGTCTTAAAAATTTGAGTTTTTGTTGTGAGATATCACAATTTAAAATGAATGTGACTTACTTCCCCTTCCTCCTGACCTGGTAAAGTTGACCAAAAGAATCCCCTCCAATCAGGGTCTTCAAATATATAGGGAAGTATACGGGTCAAGAGGCGAACACAGTTCAAAACTGAAATGTAAAGGATAAGAAAGTTTAAAATATCAGAATCATGCAGTGGGGGGGGGGGGGGGGGGGGTTTAAAGCATAAAAGTATATTGTTTAAAATATCTTTTAAATGTATACTTTCATTTTTTTTAAAGATAATGTTAGGCCTACAAAAAAAAAATTTAATGGAATTATTTTTGAAACACAACTCGATGACTATTTTATCATTCTTACATGGTTGTCAGTAATTAAATTAACATTAATAGTATAAGACTCAATAATTTGAAATTACTTAGAGGTGCACAACAACTCACACTGTAGTGGTGGGCAATGTAATGTTTATGCTAGTTGATTACATTTATTTAAATCATCATTTAACATATAGGATAGTTTGTTTGTTTTAAAGTGTCAAACATATCTAATTTTAAAGACACAAGTTGTAGTAAGACTATAATTTATAACAGGTTATTGTGTATTGGGTAGGTACATATAATCCAGCTGCAGAGTGCACAGTATAACTAGACAACTATTTCTGCCATTTTGTTAATGTCTCTTTCCACCTCCCCACCCCCACCCCCAAGATATTGCACTCAAACAGTTTGTTTTCTTTATATAAATATCAAATTAGTGCGTGTTAAATGACATTAATTAGGGTTGATTAAGTAGTATTATTTCTACAAGATAATGCTAATTAAATTAATTATGTTTACCAAAGAGATAATTGTTCATGTAGGCTAAGACTCTTATGAGGATTTATATTTAACTTTTTATAGAACTGCAAACTAGTCCAGTTAACTATGTTAAGCAATATCTTTAAGGTTGTATAATTAAGATGAACGTTTTCATTCAAAAATATATATTATATTGGGTATTCTTTCAATTGTATGCAGCTTTATTTTCAAGGTAATGCTTTGAATTAACATGCCAAATAGTAATACTTAACCCTATCTAGTTCTATTTGTAACTCTATGTCTAGTTAATTCACAGTATGTCATAGGAAGGATGTTGAGGGATGTATAGAAAGATTAATCAAGCAACAATTAAAACATTGCTGTGTGAGACATGTACAAATCCACTAAACATTTACCTGTCTGCTGTTCTCTTTGTGAAGGACATCCTGTTTCAGCAGCAGTAACCAGTTTTTCAACAGCCTTGTAGCACAGGGTGGCTAGATTAGAGGGGGATTCCTCACGCAGTGCTCTTATTTCAGCTGCCGGTATTAAAGTAAACACATCCTGAACACATGTTACACTTTCTGACCAGAACTGTTCCCAGAATGCTTCATCATTTGCTTCTATAGGCTGTTAAAACAAGTTAAAAAATTTTTAGTGGGCTTTAAAATGAAAAATGATGTCCTAAAAAATCAGAAGTTGTAAGTAATATTATAATGCAATAAATTAATAAATATTTCCCCAGTATGGTTTTAAATTAAAAATAGTTTAAATCCTTAGAATGTAAATAAAGTAACGTTAAATTATCCCCACGTAAAAATAACAGTAATTCAGTAATTCTTAAAATAAGTAATTCAATTTCATATTTCTACTGTGAGCACCTGCTACCCTGCTTCTGATCTTAGTTAGCTAAATCTTAAAATTCAGACATCATATTAAACTTGGTTAACAATCTAAACATGTTAGCCTAAAGCTACAATTTGTATGATATTAATACACATAACATGCTAATACACAGGGTACATGACTGGTCGTGTATGAACTTTTAATAGAATTAACATCTTTATATATAATTCTCTTCATGGAGACCATAGAAAACACCACGCAGCTTAGCCACCACCCTTATCCCCACCTGTCAGGTGAGCTGTGGTTCACCTCAAATGTTTACAATAGTAGAGCCGGGTTAGTGGGGGCTATTAGGGGCAGATAATTTAGTATTAAACTATTTGAAACTAGGGGGAGGTAACAATTTCTAATTGATCTTTTCTTTGTCTGTAAATGGCTGCTTTCACTGGGCGGGAGGGGGTAGTGTTGAATTCACAAATTATGAATTGCTGATAAGCAGAAAATAAAACAACTAGATGGCGGCGTATACTACATCGTGGGTCAACTCATACTATGTAATTTAGTAATGTGTATGAGGGTTAGTGTGGTGTATAGGTACCACTACTCAAAGTAGTAATAACCATTATTACATTACAATTTACATGAGGTAATGGCTAACAGTTTACCTACAACTAGATCTAGTATGAGTATTAATATAAATATACAAAAAGAAGAACATCTGAGTTAGAGGGAATTATTATAATAAATAAATATTTTAAGTCAAGTGTAATGTTTCTTTCTGTATTCCCCCCCCCCTCCCAGGTTGATTTAGCTTTTTTGGTAAGTGCAGCTCTGACAGTCACAATAGGATCTCTACTAGATTCTAGTATACTAGACCTGGTCTAGCACATGAGACTAGGTTGTGGCTTGACCTACTTTTTTATCGTTGCCTTGGTAATCATGTCTTCTAAAAAAAGACTAAGCCCCTTTTCATTTGTTTAAAAAGATTTTGTGTTCATTTAAAAAATGTATGGTTAAATTAACTTCATTTTGCTAAATATGCTTCCATACTAATATAATTAAAACAGTGAATGTTTAGTGTTTGCTGTGCGATTGTTGTTTTTAATTTATTTGTCCGACATGCTGGGTAAACTGGTGCATAATATTAAATAGTTATTGCTTTCCACAAATTTATGGCTGCTTTTAAAGATATCAAATTATCCTTCATACCAAAATATTATCCATCATTAACAAATCAAAATAAGATCAATAAAAATTCAGAAAGAAAATAACTTTGACAAAACTACTGACATCTAATTCTAAGCCACTACTATAGTGACCACTATCTGTTTGAAAGGGATAAACTCTAGCAGACAAAAAAATTTAAAAACTGTGACTGAACTTGGTCAGAACAACACGTTAAAAAAGGAGAACACAGCATTTTCAAGATATATAGCTTTGGCTAAGGAGCTATTTAAATACAAATGTGTTTTTCTTTTTTTTTTTTTTCAAATTAAAGGTAAATAAAATGCAGTTTAAGTCATCTTAAACAATCATGAAGTTTAAAATCTTAGGCAACACCCTACATGAGACTGGGACAACCGAACCGACTGAAACGAGTGAAGTGAAACATAAGAGTGAGGAAACAAGAGATTGACTTGATCTTGATGACTTTAGTGTTAGATACTTTTACTTTTAGAGAACAGCAAAGCAGAATATTCTGAAGGTAGGCTACTAGTCTAGCTAATTCTAGATCTAGACAAAATAAATAGTAAATAGATCTAAAAATTCAAAATATTTAGGGCAGGGGCCCCCTAGGCCTAGATTTTGAGGTAATCTATCGTTTTACTATTTTAGGTACGTAAAATCTGCCAAGACTAGTAATGTGTAAATAAGGTGAATCATTAAATTTTAGTAACTATTTCACATTTTTAGGAGGATTTATGTTTTGAAAGTTACAAAAATGTTTCAGTTTCATTCATGTACATATTTTTGAACAATTGTATTAAAACGTTTAAGTAATATATAGGCCTAAATCTATTATATATGTATAAAGATTAGGCCTAGCAATGTTGTCATCAAATGCTGCCAAGCTCTAGACTACTTAAGCAGCCAACTTGTTTAAGTTTTTTGGTAAAATTATAGTTAAAGATTGAAGAGAAACCACTCTAATTTACAGATAGCCGCTGTTTATATAGCAAATTTAGCTCCAAACACTGCTGTTTATAGTTAATTTCTGGCCTCACATATTTATATTTTGCTATTGCTTTTGATTTGTTATTCAGCTTTAGTTTTATGACATAATATTTTAATAAACAATAATATCACAATATATTATAATATACACTTCTATTAGCCTTCAATTAATAATTTAAGCCTTAACAATGAGGCAACTTTTTTTCACATTACTAGCCGTGGCCGATTTTACGCACCTAAAACGATAGATTAAAAATCTTGATTCATGCCAGCTAGTCTAGTAGTCTAGAATCAAGACATAGGGCTTATAATAATTATTTATAATTAAAGTAAAAGTAAAAGTAAAGTTTCCCTTTCAAACCTGACGGTCTATGGGGCAAGAAGTTCACCTGTTTCTGTGACCTCGGCATATACAGAGATGGTGCTGAGATAGTGTGGTCAGCACTATGCCCAGCCGACTTAGGCCTAAGACTTAGGCCTTAGGGAATCTATTAAATTATTAATTCGTAAATTAGTGGTTTAAATTATACTTGGAATCTAGATCTAGAGATTTTTCTAATTTTAGAACTCAGAATTTAAGAATTTTGAATTAATGCATAATAATTGTTAGGCCTAGTTATTATAATTAGATCTAGAGAAATCTAGTTGTTAGTTATAAATAATATTAACATTAATAATAGTTTTTAGTTAATCAGGCCAGATTTACACACAACTGTGATGACTGTGGTGACACTCACACTGATGACTGCTGAGATTAGGTTAGGACTGTTTGCATTAGTTTTAGTTAACAAGTATTATAAGAATAAATCTACATCTACATTTTTATTCTAAAAAAGTACCTGTGTTTTTGTTGTAAGCTGTATGACGGCTTTCCTAAAGTTAAGTTTTGTATCAGTATTTCCCATTGTGCTTTCGTTCTTTTACCATTAGCCCAGCATCTGATTTCTGGCCTACACATAAACAAGAGGATGTACGTCACAGTATTGATTTTCTAAAAACAAATAATCACGTGATTTTAGGCTGTTTCCAACAGTTAGGAAACATAACTGCATATTCCGAGGGATTCCAAAATTAGGCCTACCATAATAAAATAAGTCAAACTGTAGGCCTATATTGATATGTTAAATTTATTTATTTTTAATATAGGCTACTAAACTTAGGTAGTATTATTATTGCGTTTTACGCAAGGTATCTTATTAGGAATTCGAGATAACACTTTTGGGGGTTTTATCTAAAAATAGATCACGTATTTACAGTTACAGCTGAGTGCCAGATAATTAAGTCGGAAAGTTGGCCATGTATATCGTGTAAAATGCCCAAAGTCTTATTTAGATTTAGGGGCATTATTTGCAACAAGGGGACGTCGTGGCGCTAGACTGCTAACCCGAAAGTCTCGAGTTAGGATCCCGGGCTCGAGTCTGTAGGATCCCGGGCATCTGGGCTCGAGTCTGTAGAACGTCGATGAAACCACCCATCTTTGATGGGCACCTGACCAACGCTCCCTGTATGGGGAAAAAGCTAGCGTGCTATGTGAGCGCGATGTTCTAAAAGTCTTAGGGCCTATACAAAGATATAACATGATACGTGTGTTATAAAATGACTATGCGGCAGGGTCAAGCGCTGACCACACCATCCCCTTATATGCAGAAGTCTACTTCATCGGGAAAAAACTGATGATTTGCAACATAATCATATCCAGAAAGAGTCGAGCTTCTTTTAGGGTCATTCCCAAAACAATGTCGCCTTTTTTTCCCAGAATTATTTTAGTAAACATTTAAAACAAGCTGCAATAGGCCTACAAATAGTCTTTCGGGCGTTACGAACTTCAATTTCATTGAAATTTTCAACGATGATTTGGTGTGTTAGATTTGTAATGTGTGAGAAGCTAAAGAGAAGAGATTAGATAGGGCCTATACTGAAAGAAACTACACTTCGTCTCAAAAAGTATATAGATCTATCTATATTGTCTAGTATAAAAAAAATCAAACCAAATAGGTTTCCAAAGAAAATAAAAAACTAATAAAATAGATAATGCTACGTCAATCTTTAGGCCACTCCACTGACCACTCCCCATCGTCACTTAGTCTCCTCTATTCTTATCTTCTATAATCTACATGCTATTGTCTCTGTGTGTAAGATCATTTAATGATCTTTATAATTATAGACGACTCCAAAGTTCTTTAGGTTTTTTTCTTTATACTTTAATGTAAAGATATAACAATCTTAATATATAGATTTAGATCTATATTATGTAGTTAAAGAGGTTAGTCGTTATATTTTCTATCAAATTTTTAAAAAAATCTATATAAGTAATTCTCTTCTGGGAGACCTTAGAAAACAAGCTGCAAGCGCGCCTTGCAGTCCCCTCTCTTCCTCTCTATCGACCACCCCCACCCCCCTCACATGGTCAGGTGAGCTGTGGTTCACGCTAAATGTTTACATAATACAATCGTAGAGCCGGGTTTGGTGACGGCTATTAGGGGCAGATAATTTAGTTTGAAACGATTTTAAACTTAGAGGAGGTAACTAAGAGGAGTCTGCTTTCACGGGGGGGGGGGGGGGGTTAGTGTTTTAAAGCAAATATTTTCAGTGGCAGCATTGGTACTGTCGAATTCACAAATTATGAATTACTGAAAAGTAGAAAAAACAACAGCTAAATAGCGGCGTATGATACACCGCGGGTCGGCTCGTATAAATTATTCTGACGTGACAGTTCTAGGAAATATTTATAAGCCTATTTTCTAGTATTTTGTATCTAGCTAGGACACGGGAAGTAGGCTAGGCCGAACAGTATAAAAATTTTTTAACAGGAAACTTCTTTCGAAGAACTGAAATAAGAAAGGTGGCCGCTTTGGCTTTATGGGATAGTGTGCAAAACAAATTGTAGTGCAGGCTAGTCAGTTTTACTGTACGACAGATGTGTGTGTTAGTAGTGTTACAGTTAGATCTATAAGGTATTATTAGAGTTAGCATATTTTTAGATTTTATCCTTTTATTCTTACTTACTTACTTTTAGACTTAATACTTAAACTTAGTCTTAACTTAGGCCTATTGGGAAATTTTTCCTAATTACCATAGAATGATAAAATGGACCCAGATCAATCCTATAATATACCCCATTGATAGAAATATCAAATTTATCATTCTAGGCCTAATAGTTTTTTTTATATGAATTTTCAAAGTTATGTGTTTAACTTGTTATGTTTCATTGTAACCTGCATTCCAGACGTGTGATTGGCTTTAAACTTGCATACCAATGTTGCTATTAAAGATATAATGATAAAACTTTGCACATTTGTACTCAATGATATAGGCAATAGAAGTCTACAAATAAAATAAAAATTAGAAAAGAGGTAACTAGAAATAATGAAGTTAAAAATTAAGGGGTGTGGCACTGTTCTATAGTGACTGCCATAAGAGGATTTCCAGACTGCACAGCTAGGTTGCTATTCCATATACCATCATGAAACTTTATATATATATTAGGACTAGAGCATGTAAAAAATACAATCATGCAAGTAAAATAAACATAGCTAGAGGAAAACTATAAATAGTGAACTTGAATATGGTACAGCGCAATTAGACTATGATGATTAACTACAGGCTAATATGTTGCACTTCTTTGTTGCTACTATAAAAATAAAGATTAAACTTTACATATTGATTCTGGTGTTAGTAATAAGAGTGCTAGTATACATATTGTACAGGTAATGTATAGAGTTAGAACTTACAAGTCAAATACAGCACAATATGATCAAGATACTTAACGATTTGCCATAAACATTGGATTTGTGTCCGTGTATAACATGGTAAAAATCTTATTATTAATTTAGAAAATTTTGGTTCTTGTAATGTTTCTGATGAAAAGTGTTGAGGTGTGCTAAAACTCAAAGATTGACATTTCACATTATTCTTATTTATAAAATGTTTAGTGAAGTTGACGTATCCTTTGATAAATTCTTAAATGACATTAATTAAAGTGTTCATGTTTTCTTTCTATTATAGATGCCTATAACTAAAACTGTAATGCAGTGCAGCTTATAAAATTGGGCATTATTATTTTTAATTTAGGCCCTTTATAGTACTTTATAGATCTAGATACTACAGATAGGCCTGTCAGTATTTACATTAAGGCCTAATAGTTTTTATATATATATATATATATATATATATATATATATATTATTACACATCTCTAGACCCATTATTGTTTTAGTGTTTTCATTTCCATTTAGATCTAGATTCTATTTTTTTTAAAACTGTGTACAATAAATATAGATTTTTTCTACTTGAAATGCCTTTATAATCTATTTATCTGCAATTCGTTAATGCTAGTTTGCTAGATCTAGTTAACCTGGTATTAAGAAGGTTAATAAAAATCTGGCTAATTTAAAATTTTATAATTTATTTAGGCAGCAATTAGGCCTAATTACATTCTTTCCAATTTAGATCTACAGTATATTTATTTTAAAGCCCATTTTATTGTAACAGTCCATTTAAAAACAAACAGCTATTAAAAAAACATCGTATGCGCATATCTATTAATATCTCGTAACCCGGCCGCCATTATGAAATTACGCACGCTTTCTCGTTCCTACCCCTACGAGTTTTATCGCGCTACTCCTCATTGGCCCGTGCTTAAAAACCCTTCAAATCGACATTTCTATTTATCCAAATGGTTGGCATGCTATTTAAGCCTATTTTCATGCAACTTAAAGGATTATTTATATCTGAAATTTAGTTGTCAATGCGCCAGTTCGGTAGCGTCGGCATTTCGACAAATATTTGCTATTATCGGTGATCGCTTTCGGTATCGGACAATGTAAAACGGGAGCTAATTCATTTATTAGTATGTATAAAAGATTAAATTCAACTCAAATATTCACATCGAATACATTTTATTCTTCGATTCCGATGGCGAGAATTAACCTGTTAAAAAATGGCGAATTTCAACAAGTACGATGAAAAAGTCAGGATGTGGTCGTACCAAATCGAAACAGCGGAAGTCGAAATGCCTAGTCTTAACTTAACTCATTCATAATTTCAAAGCTTTCCATAGTAATTATAGTAAATAGTAAATACTATGATAGTTTCCTAAGCTAGATCTAGGATTCTAGCCCTACTCACTACGAACTACTAGATTACTAGATCTAGATCTACTAAAGCCCTAAGAAAGAGAAGACTCCCACTCTACTTCTTACTTACTAAAAATACTAGATTAGTACTTACCTACCTACACTATCTAGATCTAGCTAGTAGTAGTTGTTTTACTAGTTGAGTAGACTGACCTAGCCTAGAGAGTCTAGACTCTCTACTCGAGTCTGGGCTAGGGCTAAATTAAATATAAATAATAACCATAGGGCCTATATTATATTAATAAAAATCTATCGTTTTAGGTGCGTAAAAGCTGCAGAGGCTAGTAATGTGCGAAAAAGTTGCCTCATTGATAAGGCTTTAAAAGAAGTGTATTCACTATATTGTAAAGTAAATAGTAATATATTTGTGTCAAATATTATAGTATAGACGAGCCGACCCGCGGCGTATCATATGCAGCTATTTAGTTGTTTTATTTTCTACTTTTTGGTAATTCATAATTTGTGAATTCGACAGTTCCAATGCTGCCACTGAAAATATTTGCTTTAAAACACTACCAGTAGGTCGTTAAGGATGATAAACCCCCCCCCCCCTCCTTTCCCCTACCCTACACCCCACCCGTGAAAGCACCCCCCCCCCTCTTAGTTACCTCCCCTAAGTTTAAAATAGTTTCAAACTAAATTATCTGCCCCTAATAGCTGTCACCAAACCCGGCTCTACAATTGTAAACATTTAGCGTGAACCACAGCTCACCAGACCATGTGGGGGTGGTAGGGATATGCTTAGAGAGGAAGAGAGGGAGCTGCTAGGCGCGCTTACATCTTGGTGTTTTCAAGGGTATCCAAGAAGAGAATTATATATATAGATAACTCAATAATAAACCAAAATCAATGGCTAAATATATTTTAATATATCAATACAGAAATTATTAAATTAACTTTAAACAGCAGTGTTTGCAAGCAAGATTTGCTATATAAACAGCTGCCATCTGTAAGTTAGAGTAGTTTCCCCTGAATCTCTAACTATAATTTTACCAAAAACAAATTAAACAAGATGGCTCTTTAAGTAAATGAGCTTGGTTGCATCTGATGTAAACATCACTAGTCTTTATTTTTTTACTGAAAATTTTTAATACAGTTGTTTGAAAACAGGTACATTAATCAAACTTTGAAACATTTTTGTAACTTTCAAAACATTAATCTTCCTAAAAATGTGAAATAATTTAAAAAAATTAATGTGTCACCTTTTTTCACATTAATAATCTCTGCAGATTTTACATACCTAAAACGATAAATTACCAATAATTAATAATAAATAGGCCTAGGCCTAAATAATTTTATAGGTCCCCTAGCTAGATCTATATCTAGAATTCTATAGTAGGCAATTGCAGTATTTCATTAAATTGATCTCATCAAACATTTTGTAAGTTTATTATTCTATATTGATGAAGGGTGGTGTCTATGAATTTGAACTTCAGATCTAAGACAAGCCTTAATGATTAAAATGTATGGTTACTGTACAAATATATGGGCCAGTTCTTGAAAACCACCGCATTCTATGTGTGGCGTGTGTGAATATTTTTTAGTGTAAAATAAATGCTTAAAGTGTCAAATAATAAGACCAGCTCTCTTGTAGGTTATTCAAAATTACATCATGTTATGTGCCTGACCTTAGTAAGGAATAAAAGAAAAGTGGTGCAGTAGATAACATTTTTTTGCTTAATAAGTAGTCTTTTTTTTTAGTAGGGGGTGGTTGATATGGTGTTGAGAATATAGATTGATGTGCGACTTAATGAACAGCTGGTTTGAAAGTGCTTTGAAATATTTAGACATTACATTGATAGTGACAGATTACAGCTAACGACCCGTCATTCCTATTGTTATGGTGGATCATTCTTTCCATTTTGAATGTATTCCAATAAGATCCTAAAGGATTTATTTTTTTATTAAATAAATGTACATTAATCATTCCCTTAATTTGGGATTAAGTTTTCCACCTTTTTGTTTTAGCTTTCTTTTTTGATGTTTCATGTACTTTTCGTTTTCTTGTTTTCCCTTCTGTTGGCTTTCTCAGACTTTCTGTTTCTTAGACGTTCTGTTTTTCTTTCCGTTTTCTTGCTTATTGCCTTATTTTTATCAAGAGTAATGAGTAATACTATGATAAAAACAAAAAACTTTCAAGAAATTATAAACTGCAATGTGAATTTATCACCAACCTTGTGGTCAATGAGCTTGTAATACAACTCTGCTTGATTTTTCCACAATGCACTCACAATTTCAGTACCTCAACTAAATATAAATTTATAAGGGTAGGCCTTCTTTGAGAACATGTATTATAACAAGAATATTTCCTTGGGAAAAAAGCAGCAATTTTATATAAACTACTGTTTCAAAGTAGGCCCTATCAATATCATGTTACAAAAGAAGCTAATCTCTTAGTTGTCGTGTTTTCAAAATGTATTTTTAGAACCTTCTCTTTCTTTTTTTAGGTGTTGTTTTGAAATGCAGGTCTTTTAGTTTCCTATGGTATTTTCTTCTTTTATAGAGGTTGAAATGATGTTATCTTTAAGCACATAAAGATGCACAATGAAACAGGAAGTAGATTACTAATGTGGACCTACACTTAGTGGATTGTGTTGATGTCTAGTGTGTGACCAGCTTTACTTTACATTACACTCTCATATGCAAAGCATGTTTACACAGTAGCCTAGGTCAGGTGTCCATATATAAGGCTTTTTTTTTTTTTTAAAGTGAATCACTTAGTAAGATAGTACTTCATAATGCCATATAAATTGACTTCATCAAATAAGTTGTGAAGTTATTAGCATTTTCATATTTTCATTAGTTGTTGCTTAAATTAAGTTAAATGTTAGATGTGTAAAACCTACTTCAAAAGTACTTGTATGGCTCTGAGGTACAAAATTTAATTGTGCTAAGTGGCTTTAAAAAAATAGAAGTGTGCTAATCACTTGACAAATGTGTATTCCTTTTTTAAGAACATGGAATTATAAAGATAATTAGGAAATTCTATGATGAATTCTTACTTAGTGATTTTTTTTTTTATTGGTTACTATGATTAACAATATACTGTTGAACTTTTGTGTGCTTAATATTTTTGAAAATATTTCTTCCTATAAGCAAAGATTTCATTTACTTCATAAATAACACAGAATTATTTATTCTATGAATGATAATTTATTAATTTAAAAACTTTTTGCTCTTCCAGCTTTAATTGATAAGACTTACCTGACAAAAAAATTACCCCCCCCCCCCCTCTTTTAATATAACTATAACAAAATTAACTCCTTCAATATTGTAAAGATGATCAGCATGCTTAGAGGTGTTAGAGTAACAGTTTCTATTAATTCTGGACATGTAAAAAGTAATGTGACCAGTACTAAGACTTTTTAATATAACAGACAGGTATAAAACAAATGGCTAGTTAAAATGACAATAAACCTTGCTTTTATACATGATCAGCTTTTATTTTAACATATTTTTTGGTTTTTTTTAAAATCAATATTAAAGAATAAAAATGTTTTTTTTCTTCTAGATTCCCCTTGAATACCATGTTAAGAAGAATTCCACATTAAACATTACTTTTCCTTAAAAAAAGTAATAATGGATCATGAAATTGATAATTTGGAAATAGAAAATTTGCCATGGTACCACCCAACATTAAGTCGCCACACAGCAGAAAGCATGCTGATCCAGAATGGTATGGATGGAACTTACCTTCTGCGTCCAAGCTCCAAAGGAACCGGAGAGTATGCCTTGTCTGTGAAGTGTGAACAGACAGTCAAACATTTCAATATAGTCTGGACTGGAATGGAGATTAGATTTGGCCAGTGTACTTTTAATTCAGCTGCTGACTTTGTCGAGCATTTCAAGAACAAACCGCTTCTGTGTGGAGAATCAGGGCAGGTTGTTCTACTGAAGATCCCCTACCCCAGAGATATTAGTGAACCGGACATGTACGAGTCTGTTACGTTACACGCAGAATTCAGCACAGCAGATGATTCTCAGGTCATCAACGCTGATTTTTCTGTCAATTCTAAAGAAGGATTTCTCACGAAATTAGGCAGACATTTTAAAACCTGGCGCACCCGGTGGTTCGTGCTACAGCGCAATGAGCTGAAGTATTACAAGCAAAAGTTCAGCAAGACTCCGATCCGTGTTTTAGACTTGAAAGATTGCAGGGAGTGCTGTAGAGACACAACCCAGAAGGATAAAAGTTGTGTGTTCAGGCTTGATATGGGCAACAGAGTCTTCCTGCTGTACTCAGTATCTGAGCATGACATGGACGACTGGATAAAAAGAATCAACTGGAGACTGCGAGCCAACAGGACTAGAGGTAGTATTAATTCTGGCAACTCCGCACACTCTTGAAGTCATGTTAACTTTTCTATTTTATGAGAGGTATTATGTGTCTTATACAAGGTGTAATATTTCAGCACATTATTAGTCTCTACTTATTTTGTAATAAATAGGTTTGAATATATCTAGTTTAATGTAATGTTATGCTGTTATATTCTATTGATTTATGGCTATTATAAAAGCTTAGAGTTTTCTTATTGCGTTAATAGATGGCAAGACAGTACTTTAAAAATGTTTACAAACTTAGTCACAACCTCATAAAATGTTAGTACTAAATAGTTGCTTAACCCGGCATTGTGGTGTCTCCACGGCTTGACTCTCTCGCTCTCTCTCTCTCTCTCTCCTCTCTCTGTGTCTTTATTGCTACACCCCTGCTTCTGTAAAGCTTCTTGGGTTAATAGTTGAGGCATAATAAGCTATACTGTATCCTGGCACTAATCTACACTCAGAGAGAGAAAAAACATAAGTTTAAACAGCAGCATTACAGTAAACTCCTCACACAAATGATAAGCTTGTCATTCCAGCATTTAAGTTGAATCCTTTTTAAAAAAATTTTTTTTTTCAAACTACTTGGGTATTAAAGTGTGTTAATGTTAAAGAAAAACAATTTTCCACCAGTAATTTTGTGGAGCAGAGAGAACTGTAGGGGAAGGGGTGCATACAGACAGAAACAGGCAGCAGTGATAAAGTGTGAAACACTTGTGGGGAGTCTTTAATAAAAACATGTGACACACAAAAATATCCACCTGTTTAATGAAGAATAAAATTGGTAGGGTAAAATAAGTGACTGTTCATAACAGATGCTTTTTGTTACTAATGTACTGAGGAATGATCACGTTAGACACTATTTTCTTATTTCTCTGCACATAGAAATTTGAAATTGAGTTTTTACAGTTGACTTTTTTTGTGGATCCAAAATTTTCTCCTACCTCATATTCATAACTTTCATTTCACACTCTTTTAACATAAAATAAAAAGTATAACAAGGAAATGATCAAATGTGATTTATAAAAAATTGCTTTTTTCTTTTAAAAATGTAAAATAAACCCTCATTATTTTCATGTGATATAAAAATCTGTCATTTGCTATCTGTAATACCAATAGAAAAAGCTGGACAGCTTCTTGTGATATCAACAACTTTCATCTGCGATTGAAATATCACTTAACTAATTATTTTCTGACTCCTTCTAATAACTAAAAGTTCCAGCACAGAAGGATGTCTGTTCTACAGTATTCATGGGTTGTTTTTTTTGTTAGGTCAGAAAAATATATTGTTGCCCTTAAAGTAGAAAATCTCGTGCAAACAATATTTAAACCATTTAATCCTAGAATCCTTATGTTAAAGATATTGATCTTCCACATGATCACACCACCCCTTTTATTGTACCTATATAATGTATTCTTTTTATAAATATAAAAATGTTCCTGTTGTTAATTGAAAATGTGGCTATTTTTTTTTATTTTCTATCATGATGTTCTATTTACAGTTTTCAAGTGTTGTAGTCATAGCAAATGTATTATATTGGAAAGAAAAATTTAACAAGTATATTGTAAATTAGTGTATCTTTTTATTGATTTCTAAACAAGAGTACTTGAAGTCAGTTGAACTGGTGATGGATTAAGCCATATCTTTCCCTCCCCACCTCCCACTACTCTCCACATTTTGGAGTCAAAAATTTTCCTTTAATCTGTAATAAGTTGAATATTATACCTTTACTTTGAAAGGAAATTGAGGTCTAGTACCTTCTCATTAAAGGGCTATTAAAACATCAGTTTCAAACATTCAGAAAAAAAAAGTGTTTTAGCACTACTTATCTTGTTAGTCAATCATCTCTTTCAGGCAGATATTAATTTGATGTATTGTTTTCAAAGTGATGGCAGCTGTACATATATCTAAATAAGTGCCTTAGATGGTGACACTTCCCTCATTTAGTGTGAATCAATTACTATAATGAACAGCAAACATTTTCTGCCTTTTATTTTTAGCCTTTACATACTTATGTTGTACAGAGTAATCAATAAATAGGTAGCATAATAATATGCCAAAAAAAATGCTACATATCTTAAAGTTTATTTTTTTATACCCTGTTTACCTAGTTGCATGGTTTTGGTGCGTAACAATTTCACCCTATTAGTACTTCAAAAGCAAATAAATAGAGAAATAATAGAACTAATATTTTTAAAAATATACTTGTACTAAAAACACACTGCTTGTAAAGATTAAAAATTTTTTAGTAAGCATTGTTTTATGTTAGTATTGTTTAACTCCCCTTTTTACCCAGCTGGAGTTGTCTGATGTAAAGGGAAGTCACTTGTTAGTAACACTTTGTCCAATTAAGAGGATTTAGAATTTTTCTTCCTGAAGATTAACTGTTTGAATGCATGTTAGACTAATTGAGTTTACTTCCTTGAAAAATAATAGTTTAAACATTGTTGATTTCTTTTCATTAAATAAAAGTAGTTTGTTACAAGAACTATTTTCTAACATTAATACCAAAGTGACCAGTCACAATGCAGGTTTGTCGTAATAGGGCTTGTAATTAGGTCACCTACTTCTCGTTTTGGTACTTGCTAGCTTGTATTTTTGTAACCAAATGTCCACATTTTTATTAAATCGGTAAAAAAAAAGTTATTTCCAGTATTTACCATGGTAATAGTAGTCACGAGATGTGGGCTAGCTTAAAGAAACATAAAGGAAACATAGTTTGTTATTTATTGGAATCCGTAACAAGTTCCCTAAACATATAATTACAATATTAATACAATTATTAATAACCTAAGTCTACCGGTACTTAATTTGATTCTATCATTAGTTTAAAATTTTATAATTGTTGCAATTAGGTTACTCTGAGTATTTAAAAATCTTGAAGTGAGGCCTAGAAACAAATAGCTGCCATGTTATTTTGTTATCAATGGGAGTCGTGCTCACAACAATTAATTTAGTTCGAAAATTTATATTTCTCCCTGGCCAATGAGATTTCTAATTTTAAACGAGAGAGACTGAGACTTACAAGCACTTTATGTGACAATTGTTCAGTAAATATGAAAGGCTATGAAATTGTTATACGTGATGGGCCAGTTGGTCAGCAAGGTCATATTTTCGTGTTACTTTATATGTGCCTGATTGCCAAGGTTGCCTCTAATTAGCCTTAGCTTTTTTTTAAAATGACCTGCTTTCTAGTATTGCTGGACTTATTATAATGACTAGATATTAGATGAACAGTTTAGTGTTAAAAATAGTTGACAAAATCACTTTGTGGTTATGAACCACATTGCAGACTTAGACTAATGTTCATCTACAAACCATGTTTTTTTAAAAGAAGGAATTTTGTCGAAACAATAATTTTAATTTTTGTATTATTATTATCACCATGATAAACAAGGCTGTGTTAACTTTTTAAAACTACAAATTACAATGATTATTAGTTCTTGTTTTGAACATTTTAAGGTTTTGAACTTTCCATGCTGTTGTAACTTTTTTACTCATTGTGTATTAACTTGTAGATTTCTTTATGAAGCAGCTGCTTGCGATTTTATACCTGCGCTTTTAAAAGCAGTAATGTAATCATTTTAGTTTTAAAAATATGTATTCAGACATGAAGATGATTGTTGGATTGTATTTGATACGAGTAGCATGTACTGCTGTTTTTTCTTATGTCACTTTTTAATGTAATAGTTTTAGATTTTTTTTTGTGTTGTAATTGTAAATTGTAGGTGTGATAATGATGCATTTTTTTAATTTTTAAATTTAAAAATCAGTTGTAAACCTTTTTTTGTTTTATTATATCTATACTTTTATCTAAAATGTAGTACTGTTTTTTAATTTGGTGCTTTGCATTTTGTGTGGATGAAGGATTTTGAATTTTTATAATGTAAACCCCTTATTATAATATTAGTTTCCTTTTTTGTTTTAAAAATGTTTGCTTATGAGATCATGTAGATTGTGTGATGCCAATTCAGATTGGAGAAACAATGACAAATTTACTGCAGTGTGAACTATGTAAGCTTCCTAACTTAAGTTTCTTTTTGTTTTGCCTATGAGCTCAGATTAGTAGTTGCCATGCAAGAAATAGTTTGCCCTAAATCTTATATATATATAATTTGCTTGTTGCATCTTCTCCAAAGCTCTTTTATAACATTCCTAAACCTGTTTCCTATTGATTAGGTTGCCGATCAGCAAGATATAAGTTGTCATAAAAAAATAAAATGTATTTTAAAGTCTTCCATTCTTCTCATAGACAAAATACTCATTATACTGTTGAACTAAAAGCAAGCCAAAGTTAGAATTAGCAATTATTATTCAAACTTGTGCATGTTTATACATATATCATTTTTAATGTTTAAACTAGTATTATTTGTCTACTTGTTATGTATACAAGTGTTTTGTTCTTGCATGACATCACTTGAACTGATGTTAAACATTTTACCAAAGCTGGACTTTGTATTCCCCTCAAAAGTAAATATTTTGAAATGCTTTATATAGTTTAGGCCTATGGAAATGACTATTTGTTTTATACCTGTCTGTTTTACTAAGGTTTTTACTTTAGCCTATTTGATTAGCGTGATTCAGTCCTATTTGATTGTTTCAACCTGTGTTACTACCTGGTCAAACACATTGGCCTTTCAGCTGATTCTTTGCCTATCTTGATTGGGGGGGGGGGGGGGAGCATTCATCAATCATGTTGTACATCATTTTCTGTTTAGTGTGTCATTTACCTGTGACCATTGCCTTAGGGATAAACCAGAGTAATCAATGTTTGTAGGCCTTACACAGCTATTTATCTTATTTATCTTAATATTGAACCATGTTGACAAGAGTTGCTAGTACTTAAAAAAAACCACTGATACGTTTTTACAAACTTTTTATTCCGGTCACAATGGTTGTCAGTGGGTTTGTGATCAAATCTTGTATCATGGCTATATCAGTTTTTACCAGAAAAGTGCAATTCTGCCTGCAAGAAGAATATATAACTTTTAATCTATTGAGACATAAAAAATAATTTAAAACACAAGTGGCACTAACTAAGGTAGTTGCAATCACTCAGATGAGCTGGTGTAGGCTGCACTTCAAATGTTAAAAAACTAAATAAGTTTTTAAAAAGTTGCAAAAAACACTAGTGTTGTAGTTTGAATATGTTATAAAGAAATATTAGCAACATTTAGTCCATTTTGCAGAAAGCAAATTTTTTTTCCTGATGGGTGCTCACCCAAGAACAATAAACTTGGACAGGATAATTATAGTCATTATTGTTTTTACAACATAATTATTGATTTAATCTTTTATCTTTGCAAAAGCTAAACTTCTAAAAAGTAAATAAAAACATTTGTTTAAGTTTAACTGTCTCACTGTAATAAAAAAAAATAAAAGCATTTTATGCTAGACATTTAGTTATAATAGAAAAAATAAAAGCATTGTATGCTGAATATTTAGCTATAATAGAAAAAATAAAATATTTCTAGAGCAACCAAGCTAAAGGAAATATGTGTTTATTTTCTTTTTTGATACATGTAAAAAACTGGT